CACTTGTCAAACATACATTTTTCAGGCACCTTGGAGAGACATGATTGTCTAAATGACACTGCCCTCATCTTTCAAATGATCGGAACCACACGTTGAATCTCAGACACACATTAACAAACAAATAAAAAAAATGTGAAACCATGTTGTTGTTTTGCATGATTTGGACCATTATGGGTCTTCCGAAAACGATTGGGGTTTGGAGTGGGGTTGAGCCTTATGTTTTCTCAACCCAAACATTGGCAGTGGAACTAGCAATTATCACAATGATGGTCAACACAACAATCCTCTTCAGAACAGCTGCTTTTTTAAACCAATGGGTATAAACACTTATCACCGCTGCCACTGAATAAGCCAACTGGGCCTTCAGCCATTAGTAGAATAGGTTTGGTTGTGCTGAACATGCATTATTGTAGGTTAGAGTTGCAAAAGACAACATTTGTAGCTTGTGCTCATCATTATGAAGTGTATGTTGATTTCACAATGGAATGGCTGTTGAATAATGGCATCAAATGCGTTTAGATTTCCATTTAGCCTTGATTTCCTTATGCAATCTGTCTGCCTCTGGGTACATCTCCTGGTGAAATAAAGCTGGATTTAATGTACAGAAAGGACAAGGAGAATGCTTGAGTGTGAAGGCAGTAAGATAATACAACAGAGAAGAAGACAAACTATTATATTCTCACAATAGGGACAATTCATTTTGATCTCTGTTATTTTATACACATGCAAAAAGGACATATACACATGAAGACTTTTGTTTGTTGTTTGGTCCATACTTGGAGAAATTAGCGATTATCCAGTGACCATCCGGTTCTAAAGCCAAGTTCGTACGGACTAAGCTACTGACGTTGCTTCAGTTTTTACCTTTCACAGTCAAGTTAATACATTTAAGACCTTCCTTTGAGTTCCCAAAAATAAAAAAATACATATAGCTAGTCCTTTTTGTAACTTTTTTAATTGACTTGAGCGTTGACAATGACAATCCCCCTCTGTGGGACTAATAAAGGTATTCTGATTGTGATTCTGACATGGTGTGAACCTGACACCATTTTACTGTCATGGATCTAAAAAAGTATGAAAATAACCTCGGAAAGATATTCGAAATGGTCTTTTTCTCTCTTTCAGAGTTTGCCGCCCTGGTGAAAGAATAAACAGTCGCCCAATGTGACCGACTGTCACTCCAAGATCACCTCCCAACCACGCTGCACTCCCACACCTGCAGGCCTCCCTCCACAGCACCAACACCTCACCCCCCCCCACCCTAACTGCAGCTGATCCCCCCCCTCACTGCTGTCTTCCCTAAATGCAACACTGCACTGACGGAAGTTAACTGTGGTTTCCCCCCCTTCACACACACCTCCTCCCCACAGCTATACTAATCCTATTTATTTTATCCTTTTTATACAAAATGTTTCTGTTTCTGTATAGATATCAAACATGCTTGCAAGAAAGAAACCTCACATTTTAAAGTAGATATTTAAAGAAAATAGAGATTATAAGAGAAAGACCCCATGTCCTTCCTCACCCTCTTTCTTTCTCCCTTATTCTGTTTTTTCTCTGTCGATTTAACTCCTGGCACTGATCCTGCACCCACCCCCCCCCCCCCCCTCTCTTCCCCCCATCTATCTATCTATCCGTCCCTTTCTCCTCTGGTAATGAGCTGTTGTAAAACATACCAAAAGAAGAAAGAGGTCAAGCTGTGAAAGAATAAAATAAAAAGTCTCAAGAAACGCTGAGTCACTGTTAATCCCTTCCTTTGATGTGATGCTCTTATCTGATTCTCCATCTTCCCTGTCCTCTGTCGTGCAGCTTTTATTAAGCAGTAAAGCACATCTTGAGATCTTAATGTATAAAGGGGTATACACAGGGGTGGAAGTACATCAAGTTTCATATTCATGTAAAATGTGGAGGTACTTTAACTGAGTTTTTTTATTAAAGGTAGGGTAGGTAAGAATGGAGAAACCAGCTCGAGTGCGCTAGAATTTGAAAGTACACAACCGGAAAAAATCTACCCCTTCCTTCAGACTTCCTTACAGAGCCAGTGTTGCCAACTCCATAGTAAGGAAAGTAGCTATTGGCTGTCCGGAAAGTCGCGATAAATGCAATAAATGCATATATATATATACGAAAACTAGATATAGGGTCATTTTCTGCACATGTCAATAGCAGTTTCAACTATCTTGTTTTGGAAATTAAAATACTATATATAAATATATACATAGGTACACATGCACTTGGCAAATGAATAATAATAATAATAATATATGTGTAATTGCATATAAACATTGTGAACACTTATTTTCAAGTGACTTTTTTTACATTCATATGTTCACGCTGTGGTTTGGAACTGCTTTTGAATGTTATTAGGCATTTTGTTATGGAAAAATTGGTGCATAATCAGTACTGTTTTAAGCTGTACTATCTCAACACATTTTAATAGATTGAGTTTTGTTTAAATATGGGAGTTGTGTGTTCATATTTACCAACACCACAGACTATTCCTAATACTTTTTTTTGGGATGTTATTATTTTTTGTAGATTTGTTGAGAACGTGTTTCCCCATATTTCGGAGCAGTAATAAAGGTAAGGGAGAAATAGACTGTTATAAAGAGTATATTTTCTTCAAGAATGTTCTTAGTATGATACAAAATACCTATTGTTTTTGACAGTTTAGTCTGTACATAATTTATATATAATTGAGTTTTTCATCAACAAGCAGTCCTAAAAAGGTACATGCACCAACTTTCTCTCAGTATTGCAAATCCGTATAATACAGTCTACTCTCAGACTTTGTATTGCATAATGTCATTTGTTTTGGCCACATCAAGGGATCATTTATTAACTGCAAACCAGTTGCATAGTATTTTTAATTCTGCATTCACAATTTTAACAAGATCGCCAAGATTATGATGGGAGCAGAGAATTAAAAGTTCAGGTTCAGCCTCAATATATTTGGGGAGAATTCAAATGAGCCGTCTTTATTTGTAGACAGCCGAGCCCCCTCCTGTGTTCGCTGAAGCATTATATGCTTACAAATCCAATGTAGGATATAAACACGACTAAACTGCAATGATAGCAAAGCTGTGGCTTGGGTTTTTGGGGTAATAAAGTCCAAATCATCGTTGGGCTGACAGCTGAGAAAAGGCTGCATCTCTTGCATTTATTGACATAGAGGAGCCTTATTGTTTACCTTTTTAATATCATTTTTTATAATTTTCAATTGCTTGGTTTTCGTGAAATTAGCCTGTTTTCCTATTAAAGAGTAACAGATTGATGCATCTCCATAGATCATCTTAAAGGCTTCGGAATCCCCCCATTGTAGTTAAAAAACTGTCAAAACTAGGGCCCCCAAACAGCATCTTGCATAGGGCCCCCAAAAAGCTAGAAACGGCCCTGGTCTCCAAACACCAGAAAAGTCGCTAATAACACCATTATAAATCGTTAGATTAGTCGTTAGTCGCTTTTGACACAAATAAGTAGCCGGAGGGTTTGGAAAGCCGCCAAATTTAACGAGAAAATCGCCAAGTTGGCAACACTGCCCTCCTCCAACACCCACGAACGCGCACATGACCAATGAGGGCACGAGATAAGTTTGTGCACGAGATGGAACGCTGACAGTTATTTTAGCCGGGCCGTTATTTTAGCCGGGCCGGCTCAGATGATTGGTCGTGCTTTTTACAGCGCCACGGCTTCCACAGATGACATTTGAGTATTTATTGTCAAAGCATTTAATGTATTCATTGCTTTCGGGATGTTAAGAGCATTCCATGGAATATAACAAAAAGTCTTTCTGAAGTGAATTACCTACCCCACCTTTAAATGCTACGTTTAACTAATTCTCCACTACAATTTGGAGGCCAATATTGTACCGCTCTTATCCATCCATTAATTGACAGCTTAAGTAACGATACATATTCAGATTATTACACGATAAAAAATATAAATCAACATCACAGTATAAATAATGGTTAAAATATCAGCAGCAGTAAACAAATCATAATCCAGTCATTTAATATATAATCATTAAAAATGGCTGTTTCACATAACAAGTACTTTTACCTTAAGTCTATTTTGATTCCAACAGTAAGATTGTGGGTTCAGCTCTTTAACTTGTAATAGAGTACTTTTATAATTTAGCGTTCTGTTTTTTCCCTTTCCTGTAGTGTGTTATATAGATTTGTGTGCATGTAAATGGTCTGCAAAGGCTAAAATCCCTGTGTTCTCTCTAGAGGGAGTTTCTCTCTGAAATGTAGCATATATATGACCTCCTTAAAGAAGGTCAACATTAGCCTTCATTGTCATATATTAGTATTCATTAGTTGTGAGAAAGACACAGCATAAAGACAAACTGTGCAGAATGACAGTGGACTAACAAGCATCTCTCCACAGTCCATATTACGTATGTATGTTTTATAATAAGAGAGAATGGGAAGCAGAGGCCACATTATTCCACATGCCAGTGTAACAGAGTCATGCTGTCAGGCCATTAGCAGAATTGGATTCACACTGAGGTTCAATTTGGGTTAAGTATCCCCAGCGGAGGACCTCAACAGGCAGTGAGGGAATCCTGATCTTCTTTAGTAGGCCATTTTACTGCCTGAGCAAATAAGCACATTTGAAGCTTAGAGGCGATCACTTAAAAAATGAATATGTGAGTGAAGCGCAGACAAGCAGAAGGGTCTTTCATGAGAAATACAACTAAAAGTGTTTAATTGGTATACTGTTTTATTTAGTTGTAATGTAATGTTTTAGAAAAATACAGAATATCGTAAATCAAATAATCAGGACCTCCCACTAATGATGTTATACCAATATTTGTATTGTAAAAAAAATTGTAAAAATGTGCCACCAGCTAAAAAAGTAAAACCCATTGGTTAAAGAATCATATAATGCTATAAAGATGGTATTACATTATCCATGAATGCATTGCATTTTTCATCAGATCTCAGGGTCAGACTTCATTTATTTTTCCTATTTTTCTTACAAGATATATTTCATTTTCTGCCAGAGGTTACATTTTCATTTCACAAAGTAAATTAACGTTTCAATGAATATGTATGAATGGATGTCATTTGGTGGAACATGTAGAGAAAAGGCGTGGAAATGCAATATAATAGCAGTAAAAACATAAAAATAATATTTATCATGCATCAATCCTTTAGATATAAATGATATTTATCTCATCTCAACTTTACACAAGATATTTATTTCGATATGAAAGTCATTCACATGTCATCTCCTGTCCGAATTACAGTACACCAAAGAAGAAATGATAAGAAGATATATGTACATATGAATGTATATTACATTAACACATTTGTATCACAGAGATTCTTTATGAAGTACATGTAGGATATTTGATAATAATGGTGGCGCTGTTGCACGGCCATTCACGAAAACCCAATTCTACGTACATTTCCACCAGGTTTGAATTTTCTGCAAAAAATAAATATATATTTCCACATGTTTATGCCCTCAAATTTGCAATCCATTTGGTCAATTATAATGATAACAAATAATGTGATTCCAATAGGGTCATAAGACCTAATGTTCAGACCCTAATTATTACAAAAGTGTAAGTAAAACCAGAGCCAACGAATGATGAAAACAACAAGGATATAACCATTAAAGCATAAAAAACATGTAGTTTGTTGGTTTACCAAGATTTAAAAATATACATGTATCTCTACAGCTCAAACCCAATAATTATACATTATTTATACTTTTTATAGCAAACATTGTTGTATAGCAAAGTAGGGAAAAACTGACTCTACTCAAGGTCCACTTACTCACTTTGGACCATACAGTATGAGCTCTGTAGAAAAGTGAGAAACCTACGAGTGTTTATCAATAGTTATGAAACAGACAGTCAAATCAAGCAATCTGATTGGTTCTTAGCCGTGATATAATGAGCGTATATCACGGGTAGAATTGTAGTTACTTTTCACAACAACTCAGTTTCCCTCCGTGTGAGAAAAGCTACAACCGTTACAACTGTTACATTACATCCGTTACGAAACTAACTAACTAACAAAGTTGTGAGCTATTGCTTAAATAACCAACTTTCCAAACTGTATTAATCCCAATTAGAAAGGATCAAACAACAGGTTTTCCCAGAAAAACTGACTAATCACTTAAAAAGATTGTCAATACATGATTTATTCACAATTTTAAAGGCATTTCAAAGTTAAAAGCTTTTATAAAAGGTTAGAAAAGTGGTCCTTCAAACGCTTTTTAAAATCTACACTCTTTGTGCGAACACAAGAATGATAAAATATTTATACTTTTTCGCCCTCTTTCTTCAGCAAACAAAGTGTTTTATGGGCAAGGTATGAAATGATGAACAGCCTCACCTCAAGATTTACTCAGTCACTTTCGACCGTATATGCTTAGCTATTTTTTAACGGTAAAAGTAAACTCTTAAACCCCTCGAAAGCGCTTGTTTGGGGTAAAGATGTCATCGTCGGTGTACACGAGGGGCCGATCTGTCATCGGTTGACGTGGCCTTCAGCTTAATGGTGGCAAATGGGTTGGTACCCCTTCAAAATAAAAGGAACAGAAAGAGAAATGGATGTTGGAGGAGTTAGAGACAGAGTGCAGAAAAGCAATATCAAAAAATAGCACATTTTAGCCGAACAGCGAAGGTTATATCAAGAGAAATGAGAAGTTCATTTCACACCGTAGAAGCCTCATCTAGCGAAACCTGAGTAATAGTCACGGTTCCCAAGTGGCTGTAACTGAAATGGTTTCAGCACTAAACTGCACTTCAAACTCTAATGGAAGGAAAGCAATTCTGTGCCATTTAGATCACGGCCCTCTTCTGTTGTTCGCTCGTTCAATGGGTTCATGATATACTTCAAAAAATATCGTTATTGTCTGTAGTGCCGTTTAAACATTTTACAACCTGAGAGAGAGCCAGAGGTGCATTGATCTTACCTCGGGAAAAGTTCTGGTTGTGATGCATGTGGTTTTCTCTGTGGAAAAACATGCGAGAAAGGTGTGAGTGAGAGAGAGCCAATCGAAACGGTAAAATGTAGACGCATGATGCACTAATGGAGGCTCAGAAAGCTGCGGCCCTCGACCCCTCGGCCCTCTGCTTTCAGTCGGATCTCAAACAAGAGGCTCGGAGATGTATTAAGATAGGCAGCCTCACACACACACACACATATAACATTTCTACAGTTAAGATGGGCAAGAGAGCAACAGCAACAGAGACCATGCAGAGGCATCAGGGAAATGTAATCAATGAAAAATTGTTCATGCAACTGTTCTTGAACAGCACCGTACGAGAGAATGCTTTTGCTGTATTCTTCACACTGCAGCACCTCAAAGGTTATGTACCAGACCTGTTAAGTCACAAGGACTTCAAACAGGTCTTCAGGCTAATGGTCTCAGCTTACAGCATGCCAAAACAAGAGCTCACACACACACACACACACACACACACACACACACACACACACACACACACACACACACACACACACACACACACACACACACAAGCTCCTCGCTCTAACACCATCAGCAGCTGGAGCTCCCTCCATGCGTCCACCAGAAAGAGGGCTGAGGAGCCGTGGAGAACAGGAAGCTGCTGCAGTGCCCCTGCTGGACAGACTGGTGAATAGATTTACAAGACGAACCTTCATCAGAGCTGTCCCATACACTTTGTGATGTAAAAGCATGTATCAATGCAGTTTTATGAAGGGATTATATACTGTAACTTGTGGCTTTATTCATGGGAACTGAGTATTTAAAAGTTATATATTAAAAGATAATTATAGGTTTGGGTTGAAAGTTGTTACAAATCATGTAACTTCTTATTTCTGTGGTCATTTATTAACATTCATTTCCACATAACAATGGCAGACTTGGACTTCAAACGCTTTAATAATGATGTATTTACAAACAGAACGTGGAAAAAACCAAGAGTATGTATGAATGGATCACTAACTTTTCAAACCGCGTTATTACCATCAAGAGAGGATCAACCAACAGAATTTTGGTAGGCCAGAAATTGTTCTTATTGGTGCTTATACATTTAAAATATCTAGTATTGACTTTAATAACTCTGGTCCCCAAATACTTTTTATAACGACTGAAGGAAAAAAGACAAAAGTACATTTATGATTAAAAAAAAGAAGTAATAATTGGTTAAATAGATTTATTTTGGCAGAGAGTGAATTGATGATATTGACACTGATAAATAATCAGACTGACAGCCTTACCTTTTTTTCTGAATTAGACTCAGCCCTTTTGTCAGGAGTCGGTGTGATTGGCCGCATCTCGTACTGATTACTGGACGATGAAGGAGGTGGAGGTGGAGGGGGCGGGGCTCCGCTGTAGCTGCTGCCTCCCGATTGGTCGAGCAGGTTACTCATGGCGTTACTGCTTCGGAGAGATGAGTGTCTGAAATTAAATAAAATAAAGAATTTTTTTTTCATTCCCCTGAAATGCTTTTTGTCCTTCATACTCAAACGATATCAGATTTTAACACCATTAATTTTAGGGATTTAATTTCAAAATCAAATGGTCAGTGCATTAAATCGACATTCTTTTTTTTAATTATAGGCATAAAACCCTAGCATGGGTCTACAGGGACTGAGCAAAGTTTTGGTTTGAACACTTTTACTGGGTTTCCTCACAGCAATGGGCCACCCAAATATATTAAATAGTTCATGTTATTATTCCAGGCCTCCACTTCATGCTGACCCTCTTTTAAAATATTGAGCCCATAAAACAATAAGGACAGCCTGGGGGAGCTTCACAATATATCCTGTATCAGGTTGAAAAGCAAATGGCTGCAAATAAATAATTGATTGTCTTTTTTTGGACTGTGAGAGGTAAGGCACAAAAACACGAGGCAAGCCACTGTGGGACCACGGTCGAGACAGGCAGCATTGTTAAAAATACTCCTCTTAAAACATAAAAACACAATTCATTTTTCAAGTTAATTCATTTGGGAGAGTGACATTGGGTAATGCAGTTCTGTTTGTCATTCAGTAATTCATGATTAGATTTAAGGGTCTATTCTGAGATTTGTAAACTTTATTTTTGATTTGTACTTGCTTTGTCATGTAATGATGAATAGGTTGCTATGCTTTAATAGTAGATTAACAATTGATAGAAAATATACAATGAATCCTATTCATCACATCATGAATAGCGTACTTAAAATATGATCATTAATGTGTTAGACTTAAGCCAATTAAAGAATAGTTTGAAGCAAATAATGTGATAAGTCATGCTAGTAGTTTCCTTTAGTCTATGGTGGTTGTGCTAAGCTAAGCTAAGCTAACCAGCTGCTTCAAATGCTGGAAAGCTGTTGCCAGGGCCGCCCCTCCCTACAGGCCAATCACGCAGGCTGCATGGGGCCCCGCCTTGCGCAGGGGGCCCCGCCCAGAGGGCCTCAGCTGCTGTGCGCAGTTCTCCGCTCAGCTGCTGTGCGCAGTTCTTCGCTCAGTTCTCCGCTCAGTTCTCCGCTCAGTTCTCCGCACACCCCCCGCGAGAGTGAGAGGTGACAAGGGGAGCACGTCTGTAACCCGACACCGTTGCAATGAATCGACATCTGACCAATCGCGGCTTTGATACGGCCACTAGTGCAGGTGAAGAGATGTCGGTGAAAAGACTGTTTCAGTCCGGAGCAAGCAAGAGGGAAAAAAAACAAAACATGAAGAAACCAGAGCATCACTCGAAGGTGGGTTATTGTATGAGTCAAATGTACAACTTGCGAATGTTGTATAAGTCAAATTGCCATATTAAAACATCAGCTGCAATTCACAACATGAAGAAGGCAGTCTCTGCAGAGCATATAGGCTAATGGAGATGCAGTTATTTCCAGCATTCTTTATTTACCATTCTTATGTCAATTTGCACATTTCATGGTGATGCTCAGCCTCTCCCCTTAACTCCTAACAGTCATCATCATGTCAACCACAACACAGAGCAATACTGATATAGATGTGTGTGTGTGTGTGTGTGTGTGTGTGTGTGTGTGTGTGTGTGTGTGTGTGTGTGTGTGTGTGTGTGTGTGTGTGTGTGTGTGTGTGTGTGTGTGTGTGTGTGTGTGTGTGTGTGTGTGTGTGTGTGTGTAGTTGTTGATACATTGCTGACAGAGGGAACTAGAATACAGATTTAAGAAATATCAGTTTTTGAGCATGTCATAAGCATGTTTTGTCTTGACTATATTACAACTATATTATAATAAAATAATATATTATTTATATTATTGAATTGATTATGATTATTATTATTAGTAGAAGTAGTTTATTTGCATTAATTATATTTTAATCTTTTAGAGGCTAGTATTTGGCAGGAAATGCAGACGTATTCACCTGTAAACGCATACTGAACGACATACATGCACATTTACCATTTACCTCACTGTATAAAAAAGTAACTGTGTTGATAATAATAATAAACAGGAATTATATTTGCAAAGTAGCCTAAAAAATGTTTCACTCCTGTCGGTTGGGGGGGGGGCCTCATCTCACAATGTCGCTTGGGGCCCCAAGTTGGCCAGGGGCGGCCCTGGCTGTTGCCATGATGTTAGTGCACAGTAGGAGTCATTCACTGTATCAACAGCCTGCTCTTTGTATTGTTGTGCACCGACAGAAATGTTAAGAGTTTCATTTTTGTTGTTTTATGGTTGTTTTTGTCAATCACCATTTACCCGTCATTCCAGGCTTCCCGATTATCTACCTCTTGTGTGTCTCCCGTGCTCATCAGCACCGGCCCTGATTGTTCCCACCTGTGTCTTGTTGTCGTGTGTTTAAATTCCCCAGTCTCCCATGTGTTCTTCGTCAGTTCGTCTTGTCTCATGCCTAGGTCAGATCTATGCTCTCCTTGATACCATGATGTTTTTGTTCCTCACTACGTGAGCGATTTTCTTTTGTTCACTTTTTGTCATCTCATCAAGAGATTAGAAAGTGTTTATTTTTGTTCATCTATTGGAAAATAAAGTATCTTACAAATACTTTACCTCTGTCTCCTGGGTCGTGCAATTGGGTCCTTGAGTTTCTGAATTCGTAACAGGTATGACATGTCGTTTTTATTGAACACAGTGTATTGGATGTTTACCCAGAGCTGGGTGCTGTTGGAGGATCGTCCACCTGCTCCACATAGGAGGCTGGAAACCATCCCTGACTGAAAACAAAAAAGCCAAACAGTGAAGTTAACGGAAGTGGATTAGATCAGGTGTTACGGGGCCCTATTATGCTTTTAAGGGTTTTCACGTTCCTGGAGTGTGTTCTATAGGTTTGTGTGCAAGCAAATGGCCTGCAAAGGCTGAAATTCCAAAATTCAATCTGGCAGCATAATTTTTCAAGAAATGTGTTTTTGATTTTCTGTTGTTCTTCTGACCTTTTAATATGTTCTTTCCCCTTCCACGTTCATATAAATAAATCACTTTGGTAAACCAGCTGGGTTGTTCTTAGGAAAATGTACCTGTGTCTAGAACAATAAATATAAGAATAATTGTACGCTTCTATTGGCTAGTGCTCCAACACATTGTATTTGATAGGCTAAGGGGCGGGACATCTCTAAGCGGTTGACCAATCACAACAGATAGCCAACCAATCAGAGCAGACTGGGCTCTAGTCTCAGACAGAGGGTGAAAGAGGTGCTGCAGCACAGGCAGTATGAGAACAATAAAGAGCTTTTTGAACATTAAAACATGGAGACATGTCACAGTAGAGACACAAAATACAAATATGAACCTGAAGATGAGCTTAATATGGCCCCTTTAAAAAATGTAACTTCTTACTTCAAAACCCTAATGTTCTGTAAAGTTTTTATAGCAGAGTCACTGCATCTCACAGCTTTTTGAACATTAAAGCATGTAAACATGTCACAGTAGAGGCACTAAATACTATCAACCTGAACATGTGCAGAATAGGGCCCCTTTAAGCCATACAGATGCCACACATGCACATTCATCGCTCACCGTGAGCTGCTGTCAGCGCATCCGTACAGCCAGCCGTTCCTGGGCTGTTGGACCAGCACAGAGATCGTCTCGCCCCTGCTGAAGGGCAGCAGGGTGGGGTTGGAGCCGCTGGGCTGGTGGGCCACCCGGGCCCTCGTGGACCTTCCTCCTGTAGAGCGAGACACGCTTCCCACGGGAGACGGAGCTGGAGAGACGAGGAATGAAAGGGGCAAAGAAGAGGATTTGTTAAATCACGAGTCAGATGATGAACCAGCTTGAACGTCAAAGCAAGATCTCTAGTGAAATGATTCATTAAAAAAATAAAGGTGGCAAGGATTTTTAAATGATGGCCCTGGAATTAGTAACACAGAGGGTTAGCAGACTACTAAATACTTTACTTTATGTGTAATTATTGTTTGCTTAGATGGCAGTTAATTGAATTACACCAGAGAGGGAGGCAGAATGTTTGGGCTCATTAGCGTGCTGCATGTTTCAGCAGGGCAAAAGTGGAATATAGGAAGAAATGCTGTTTAATATTCTAGAGATTGTTTATTGTCTGTTTTTCATACTTTGGTTCTTTATCTTTTCATTCCCTCTAGATAAGCAAGCCAAGTAATTAGACAGACTTTCTGCACAGGAATGAGAGGCTGTGTGCAAAATGATGAAGCAGGAGAGAAAGATAGACCAGAGAGAGAAACGGAGATAAAAGGCTTAAAGAGCGATAAAGAGGGTGGAGAATTGAATGTAAAATTAGCTCTGGTGGAGGCATTATGGGCCCCAAATAATTTACTGACATAATGAATATTACAGAAACACTTTAGGACGATACACGTAACGTTAAATATGTGGCACGGAAGTAAAATTCTGAATATTTTGATGTTACAGTGATAGGTGTTGAGAGCATTCGAACAGCGGTTAAAACGTATGTGTCAGTGAGTGATGGGAGAAGTATTGAGATGTTTTACTTTAGACAAAGTAAATCACTCTGTTGAACTACACCACTAGATATAAAAGTTGTGATGTGACTTACATCTAAAATCTTAGTATTTGTACCAAAATGTAATTAAAATAAAACAAATAAAAGTATTCAGTGTACAGGAATATGTTCTGATGCGATGGTGTCGATGCATGTTTCTGCTGATCCAAGAGGCTTTTTGCAATAGTTTAACTGATAGAAAAAAAGCAACACTTCAATTAGTTTATGACAAAAAATCTACAAATCTTGGGATTCATGCTTTTAACCGAACGAGAACGGAATGGTAAACCTGAACTTCAAACATGAAAATAGAGTTAAATGTACAATTTTGAATCTGATATAGAAGTATAATGTAGCTGAACAAATTGAAATAATAAAAAATCTGTAAAAATACTGCGACTTTGTGCTTAAAGGTAGGGTAGGTAAGAATGGAGAAACCAGCTGGAGTGCGCTAGAATTTGAAAGTACACAACGGGAACAAATCTGCCCCTTCCTTCAGATTTCCTTCCAGAGCCCCTCCTCCAACACACACGAACGCGCACATGACCAATGAGGGCACGAGATAAGTTTGTGCCCAGATGGAAGGCTGACAGGCAGGTAGGCCATCCAGTTACTTTAGCCGGGCCGGCTCAGATGATTGGTCGTGCTTTTTACAGCGCCACGGCTTCCACTGATGAAATGTTGTTATGTATTTATTGTCAAAGCATTTAATGTATTCATTGCTATCGGGATGTTAAGAGCATTCCATGGAATATAACAAGTGTTTCTGAAGTGAATTACCTACCCCACCTTTAAGTACAGTGCGTGAGTAACTGCCCATACTGTAGTTAACATCCAACAGGGGTCAGTAAAATGTGTTGAATGAATCCCCTCACCCCTTGATGGTATTTTGCCGAGGGGAAGCTCCTCTCTGCTCTTCCTCATGTCCTCTTTCATCGACATCTGTACAACAACACATACACCAGTTGGAGTTAATATATCTTGTAAACCTCAGGGTATAATGTAATCATAAAAGCAAAGAAGAAACAAAGAAAAGCAGCTCATGTGTCAGAAATAATGGATTCTACAAGGAGGACATTAATATTTGAGTTCCAACAATAAGTCAACGTATCCATTAATAAGATAACTGCCAAATATTATAATAACCAATTAAAATTAAAATGTTTTCATGCTAACATTTTGAAAATGCTGTGATTTGCCTGTTAAATATGGACATACTGTACTGCTTCCCCCTTTTATATGATATTAAGGAGACGATGTTTCAAGACATCACCTTGAGCTTTGAGAAAGTAGGATGGACATTTTTCATAGTATTATCTGACACTATATAGATCAAAAGATGAATCGGGAAGAAATCTCCAGATCAATGGAAATGTATTTTCTCAATTGCAGCCCTAACTGTAGAAGCACAGCTGAAATATCTGTCTAATGCGGCTCACTGCTTCTCTCCGTTATAAGCAAAGGATAAATCCTGCGTTGGACCAAAACAAACACAGAATCCATGTTAATCCTTCGATTGTTATTACAGTAGGATGTGGGATGTGCAGGTTTGTTGGCACGTCACCTCCAGATGAGGAACAGACAGAAACTGACAGGGTTTATCTCAGGGACGTCCCTGTTGTTTATTTAAATGGTAATTTCAGCCCTCCTATAGAGAACCATATGGCTTCAGTTTGTGAATTATGAGTTTGTGTTAATGCCACTGTCTTTAGATGTAGAGCCATATTTAATTTAGAGTGTATTATAAGATCTGTGTTTAGATGATACAAGGTCCATATGTCAGTTAATGTGAATGTTTGTAAAGAATATAGCATATTTATTTATTTTAATGCCAGACAATCTGTAATCTCTTCCTTTCTGTTCCAGCTGCAGGTTTAATCCTTCTTTAGAAAGCTTTGACAGAAAACTGATGGCTTTCAAATTAAATCAGCCTCTAACCAGCAGAGGGCACTCTTGTAACAAAAATATTATTGCAATAATTTACATGTTCCCTTTGGTAGACTACCTGTGCATAAGTATAATCAATGTCTTTGTTTCACAGTTCACAACATTTGCCCCAAAAAGTGCAAAATATTTGACTGGTTCAACCTCTGTAATCCTCCTCACAAGATACTTACCTCGAACACTTCCCCTCAGTTCACCCCCAAACACAGGATTATGTCTTACCAGCAGTTTATTTTGGGAGCTTTTAGAGCAACTCTCGTTGAATAATTCAGTAAACACAACAGATTTCTTAAAATCGAACTCACCAAGTTTTCCACAGAAGTAGGGCGTCTGGCCTCTGGTCCTCTGGTGGCCCCCACCTCCTCCGTCCAGGCATCAGCCCTCTGCTGGAGAGACCCTCCTGTCTGCAACACAACACCCACAAGCACATGTGAATAATGGACAATTATTTCCACAAATAAAGAAACAAACTAGTTGCTTTTGACATCAAAATATGTCATTCAGGTGAATATTGTAGATCCGAATAGTTTAATAATAGAATAATTTTTTTCAACCATTGCCCATACTTGCCAGCAATGTAAACCCTGACATGTTGAGTATCCCAACAGTTTTATAATAGAAATGTATACGGGTCCCCATTACATAGAAACTGCCCGATGCTAAATTGCATATGTTGGGGAATTTGCACAATTAGCATAAATATAATTAATTAGCATTATTTAGCATATGCAGACTATAGCAAAACAAATTGCTTGGCACATTTTGAGAACTTTGGTGTGGTTTTTAACCTATATTGAGGATGTTCATTTTTAGGATAATAAATGGCAGTTCTGAGTCCCATAAAACTTTAAATAGAATGTATCAAAACGTGACCACAGGGACTACAAATATGGCCACTCTGGTAAAGACTGCCATGTTTGATCCTGAACATGTCAGAAACGTATTCAACATCTTCAATAACCCCCAAAACAACTCAGCAATTCTCCAAATAGCCAAGCCATTTTTAAACTATCGTCTGCGGGCTATAATGTCATGAATGCTAATTAACGCAACTTATGCTAATTGGGCAAATTGCCCAATATATTCAAGTTATCTTCCGGCAGATTCTATGTTCTGGGTAGGCTACTATACATTTCTTACATAAAACTTTGGGGTACTCAACATTTCTGGGTTCACAGGCAGGAAGACTGAAGAGCAGAAACGGTTCTGAAAACTGTTGTCAAGTGGGGATCTTCTCCTCAATAAAACATCTGAGCCTTCTGGCCAATCAGAATCAAGATATCTCCAACGTCTTGTTGCCGGGAGTCCCGAGGCAGAATAACTTTTTGCGGTTCACTTTAAACATCCATGGTTCAACTTCAATTGATGCTAGTTTTTAGGTAAGTCTCGTTTGTTGCTAAATTAACGTAACAATAATTTGTTGCCAACTCAACATGTGTGCAGTGGTGAAAAGTAACTAAGTACATTTACTCAAGTACTGTGAGAGACTTGTACTTTACTTGAGTTTTTGCATGTTATGCTACTTTGTACTTCTACCCCCCTACAATTCAGAGGTAAATGGTGTACTTTTACTCCTCTACATGTATTTAATCCCTTTAGTTACTTTACAGATTTGTATTAATGATGTGAAATCTAATCATCACTTAAATCAGACTTTAGTTCCACCTGGAGTAAATTCACAAGCTACCCTGCAGTCAGGGGCGCCGTAAGGGGGTGAAAAGTTAGGACGATTCTAAGGGCCCATGACTGACAGGGGCCCCAAAATGTTTAGAACATTAAGAAAAAAAATGTAAGTAACCTTTCATCAATCATCAATCATCAATAATTAACATTAATCTAACGTCATATTGATGACTCACTAAACTTACGATTCATTTAACTTATTTTCTTCCAAAAGTTAATTATCCAAAGCATCGAACACCCCCCTCTATTTACATGTAATGGTTTGGTCCTGCCTCCAAACGGTGTGGGACACCGCACTTTCTAGCAGCAGAGAGTGAGAGCATCTGAGCAGGGATGCTAGTACTTACGTGTGCACAATGTCTCAACGACTAACAAAGTCAGGCTTTCAAGAAAGAAAAGAAAGGAGAGAAAGAGAGAGGGACTAAAGGGCGACAGTATGATAAATAATAATTGTAATGTTTTGCTGACATTAAGTATTGTTAATATCTTCACAGAAAATGCTGAGGTTTTTCATTTCACTCCTCTTTTAGCTGACATTTAATAAATGCAGGTAAATTTTTAGCAGCTATTCATACTAAATCAGTTGTCCCTCCCCCTGGTGCCAGGACCAACAGATCCATCTTTAGGCTCCGCAGCCCTGTCCCCCCATAAGGCTGGCATGAAAATCACTCACCTTTCGGCGAAATTCGCCGTTTTGAATCCAAAATAGGTCGTTTGTGTGATTCATGTAGATCTGCAATAAAAATATTTGTGGGGTATGGGGGGGTCTGGGACCCGGAGTAATCTGCGGCCGCGAGCTGTTATGTGCCATCATGACACGCATGGTGTTCTTTTTTTATATATTATAATGCAGCGCGAGCTGTGTGCTCGAGTCTTCCTGCCTGTCGGCTCTGCTGCTCCGCGATGATGGTCTATCTTCAGCAGCCACATTACCTACGGGTGCGTTCGTTAATATTAACTGTGCGGTCCGGAGTCACTGTGGTACAGACTGGACCGCTGGTGAACAGCTGTTACGTCCCGTTCAGGTGTTCAGAGCAGAGCTCCCTGTCGGAGCGCAGAGCGTGATGTGCACTGCAACGTTTTTCTGTCGCAATATTATCGTTGAGCTAGCTAGCTAGCATACATTGTCACTATCTGCTAACGTTAGCTTTAGCCTTCGTTTTCTAATAGTTATTTTTTTCATAGGCTATAAACGGAGGTGGTATAAGTATAGATCTTGTACTTGATTAAAAGCAGAAATACTCAGATATTGTACTTGATTAAAAGCAGAAATACTCAGATATTGTACTTGAGTAAAAGTAGAAGTACTCAGATCTTGTACTTGATTAAAAGCAGAAATACTCAGATCTTGTACTTGAGTAAAAGTAGAAGTACCAGAGTGTAGGAATACTCTGTTAGTAAAAGTACTGCATTCAAAATGTTCCTCAAGTAAAAGTAGAAAAGTATTCTCATCAAAATATAGTGAAAGTACCGACAGTAAAAGTAGTCGTTGTGCAGATTGGTCCATTTCAGAATAATATATATGATATGTTTTATAATGATTGATCATAAAAGTGTTCTCAAAGCTGGTGAAGGTGCAGCTAGTTTGAATGACTTTGTATACTGCAGGGTAGCTTGTGAATTTACTCCAGGTGTAACTAAAGTCTGATTCAACACTTGATTAGATTTCACATCATTCATCCACATCTGTAAAGTAACTAAAGGTATTAATACATGTAGTGGAGTCAAAGTACACCATTTACCTCTGAACTGTAGAGGAGAAGAAGAACAAAGTAGCAAAACATTGAAACACTTAAATAAAGTACAAGTATCTCAAAATTGTACCCAAGTATAGTACTTGAGTTTATTAATTTAGTTACTTTACACCAGATGCCATAAAGATAGAAAGACTAAGCCTTGCACAGAGGCATGACAATAGATTTTCAAAATGCTCAACAGTGCTGCCGAAATTATAAACTGACTGCTACACAATTAAAATAAATGCTTTTATATATTTATATTAGATGTGACTCTTTAGCGTTTCTGTTATTATTAACACTGCTGCTTTAGTTGTTCTGACTGCTAAAATCCTCTGTTATTCCTCATTTTAAAGCCGATATTCCGTGGGGTCGGGGGGCTCGGGTCCTTGTCACCTTTTCCATACCTGATGAGTTTGCATCCCTGATAATACTTAGTAAGGAGGCCATAATATTTTTGACTCATGGCTGAAGTTAAGTTTCTCCAGCTTTCCCCAGGTTGGCAAAAGAATGCATCTCAAAATGCATCAGATTGATGCTTTAAAATATGGAATATTCAAAATGTTCTTCCGGGGGAGCATGCCCCCGGACCCCCCTAGAGGGATAATATCCTTCTCACCTTTTTCACCCCTGACCCGTTTTCATGCCTGGGCTTTGCAGTCTTGCCATGCTGTCCATTGAAAGCCAGTTGGCTAGAAAGCTGGACTTCAAGGACTTGATCAGTGACTTTGCCTGTAAGAAGGCTAGGCGCTGGGCTCTTGGTGAGTAAGGCTGAGCCAGGGCTCGTAATAACTGTTAAAGGGCAAGGCTATGGTAACGATATTGGATCACTACACACAAGATGCATGATGAGAAAAAGACAGAACAGGTAATAGGCTCTGATTTAGCACCACCATCAGGCCTTTTCACTTCCATTTCCGTTTTGTTGTCCATTTACACTTTAATACCCGCTTATTTTGGAGTTGGTATGTATATGTATATAATGTTCCATTCAAAAAAATGTTATTAAAAAAGGCATGTACACCATAAAAGATTACTATTGAGATCTATTGTCAGGAATGTTAGTGTTATATCAAATAGTGAATTATACTGCAGCAGAATGTTGCAGTCTGCACAGTGTTATATTTTCACCGCTCAGTGTCAGTAAATATTGTGCAGTTAGTATTGGACTACAAGATAGATGCAAGCCTGTACAGGTAGAGTTATTTAAAGTATAAATGAGTGGGTTGGGTTCTGGAGGTGTGGTTACAGCAATTGTGCTTGGTTGGCGTGGCCTGGGCCTGGTGGTGGGGCCCAATGTGATATCTTTTCATGGGGCCCAAAATCCCTGGCGGCGCCCCTGCCTGCAGTATACAAAGTCATTCAAACTAGCTGCACCTTTACCAGCTTTGAGAACACTTTAATGATGCTTTAATGAATACTTATTTTACTTGAGTAACATTTTTGAATGCAGGTCTTTTACTGTAACAGTAGTATTCCTACACTCTGGTACTTATACTTTTACTCAAGTCCAAGATCTGAGTACTTCTTCCACCTCTGCTTGTGCTAGCTTTAAATTACTTACATTATTTTATCTCAAAGGTTGACGTTTCATAATGTTCTGCTTTCACCATAACTCACTTTCTATGTATTTCTCAGTTTTTTCTGAAACACTCTTCCATACTCTTTCTATTTAATGTAAAGTGTATTATTTTACTGTGTTATTCACTTTGTAAATCATTGAGACTTAATAAGGCTGTTAAAAAAGCCTTATCAACAAAAGGCAGAGCTCTTCAAGTGGCAGCAGTATAAGAGGTTACAAGGTCATATTTAATGTTATGAGCCTTGTATTTACATTGTTATCTTACTTATCTTACGGAGAGTTAAGAACACACGTCACACCATTTCTCCTGAACTACCTGTACAGTCTCAATATGATGACTAAGGGTGGATACTGTACGAAAGATGTCCGTCACACTTTAACTGTTTACATAAAGTGGAATCATAAAAAGTCCATAGTTCAAAAGAGCTGTTGGAGGCATCAGTCCTGCTTAACAAACTGAGTATCTTCGTTCTGTGGATGAACCTCGTTATACCGGAGGAGGGTTTCCCCACGGGGGCCGATAAACTCTCACATAATCATTACACATTATTGTGAAATCTCTTTTAAGTGCCGTCCTGTCATTGTCTCCCTCACATCCCCTTGCAATGACTTGTAAGACAAACCCGACGTTTGGCACTTGTAGTCAATAAGCCAAAGCAAACTGTAAAATATTGAGAGGATATTTGAAGTGAGGTGTATACCTTATTCATGAGGTGTGCGATGGATTGGATCAGGCCGCAGTGTTTCTCCGACAGGAAGCGGTATCGCCTCTCCTCCTCCTTTAAAGCCTCGCTGTGGCTCTCCCTGAGGAACTGCACATACTCACTGCAATCCTGAGGAGACACATCATTGACAGTGGGTTACATATATATATATATATATACTCTACAACAGGGGTGTCCAAGCTACGGCCCGGGGGCCAAATGCGGCCTGCGGACCATTTTGAATCGGCCCTCAGCAAATTCAAAAAGTATAATGGAATATGGCCCTCAAATGAAACTTGTGCTTGTCTTATATTGTACACACTTTACACTTTTCAAATAAATTCATTCAATTAAAGTTGGAAACATTTTCTAACATATCTTAGTTGATAAGAAAAAAGCCCAATGACTTATTTACATAACAAGCTTGAAATACACCCTTCCTATTTCTCCTTATTATAATCAATCTGAGGCTTCTGTTTTAAGGGATGAGCTGCCAACACTCACGAGCATCATTTACCTACATTTGATTGATTTTGCTAACTTACAACTGAATTTACGAGGCGATATACCTCTAGTGAGCGGCCCAGCCCTTCGTATATTTTTCTGTATGTGGCCCTCGGAGAAAAAAGTTTGGACCCCCCTGCTCTACAATGACACATTCATATATTGTACATTGGTGCAGATTCTTTGCTTCGGATGGCAGAAATAGAAAGAAAGAAACCTGGTTGGCTCCTCTCCTCAGCTGTCGGTCCATAGACACTGCCTGGTTGTGCACTTCCATCTCATAATGCTTCTTGCTGTCCTGCAGAGGAGAGGACTCACATTATGTCTGTGTGAAATGAAAATGAAGCCGTTTTCCCATGCATTCTAATGGCATCTTTTTCGCTAATGACAATGATAGTTATTCATTTTACATTTCTTCCTGGAAATAATCATGAGAAACAGTAACAGCTTCTCATTTCAATTGCCTTTTGTCCTCGCTGTGCCTTTGCTTTGCCCTCATTTGCTGCATTTCTATCTTGTAGTTTAGAGGAAAATGTTTTTTCTACAGTAATCCGGTCACAGTCTAAACTTACTTTTAGAGTGAGACAAAACTACTTGCTTAGCTTTAATGGAACATCCTGACTTTGGTTGAGCGTTGTCATGTGACTCAGGGTATGTACTTGGTAAAATACATTACAAACCGTTACTTTTTGGTTAGGTAAAGATACGATAATTGTGATACGCCACAAACAAACATTACCTGGGTGATAATATTGATATTGATATTGAAGTGACTGTTATTTTGTATATATTGATATATATGTGTAAATGTGTCTGTTGATTGTGTATATAGGATATACATATTTTATACATATTTGTATACATATCTGTATATTGTATAATTGTATTTTTGTATTCAGGATTGTTGGAAACGTCATTTCGATCTCTCTGTCTGTACACACAAACTGAAAGATTGACATTAAAGTTGACTTTGACTTTGATATGTTTAGCTAAAAAAACACAATTGGCATTTCGTTGAATGGGAACATTGTGTTTTTAGTAGACCAGATTGCTCACTGATATATAAGTTCTGTCCTGTCTAATGTTGTTGTCCATCTCCTGAAGAACCTCCATAGTGAACCAGCGGAACTGAAAAGTGACAAAAATATATAAAATACATTAGAAAATTGAAAATCGGAGTTTGATCACGATAACAAGTCGTGATAGATAAGTGTAGTATTAATGGTACTTACTACTCCATCCAACTCCACAGTGAGTCTTCTTTGGCTCTCAGAGATCTGAATCAGGACATCCCCTTTAACACAAGCGCATTACATGTTACATCAATAATATCACTTACATAACTTCAAAACAATAAAATATAATATGATACAGTATTATGTAGCCTTTTGTAATAGGATCATATAATCTTTCCACTTTCTCATTTCCATTGACTCATTACTCAAAATCAATCAATAACCCTAATGTCTTAAACACACTACAGGGAACACTCTGTCTCTAAAAATAGAAGTTGCTTTTTATTGCAGTTTCAGATAAGATCATGTGTTCTTCATTGTTCTACATGGACATTTCTCTTGCACATACATGCTGACGACACAGGCTTAAATGCACATGTTGAGTGTGTAACAGTAGTTCTTGTAATATTAATAATAGTAATAAAAAGTAATGAAAGTCAAGAGTGTCAAATACTAAAACCAGGTAAAATCGTACCATATCATCGGTAATTATTAACAATATATTAGTCCCCGATAAAACCAAAGCATATAATACCTGTTTCTTGTTTTGATGGAATTGTTGTATTAGTTTAACTTCAAATATAATATTCTGAACCGTCTCCCTGAAAGCGTCTTCTCACATTCTGAATGTGTGTTGGGTCGTTCAAAATCTCATTTGTCTCCAAAAGCACAAACAGTATATTTCATATAAGTTCCCAGCAGCCTCTCTGCCGTTTCCTCTGTCTCTGTTCCCTCATAAGATTCACAAAACCACAGGAGATTTCTTGTCTTTCAACTTCAAAAATCTTCAAAGAATGGATGAATAATATCCCACACTACGGCAGAATAATAATAAAAAATCTAAAACCCATTTCCGATGTTGCAACCAGGTAGTCAGAAACTTGGGAAATGGGTTTTTTTTTTAAAAAAGGTTTTAGATACTTAGCGATCAATCGTAATGTTAATACCTGAGAGACTTAAATCGGAGCTGTTTTTAAATGTTTGTGATTTCTTAATGTCATTTTTATCCTAGAGGTTGACTGCTATCGAAGCTATGCTCTGCTAGCTGTCTGAGGCTAACATGTTGCTAATACAACAGATACTTTGCTATTGAGCTAACTAATAAGTATCATGCTGTTTAGTCTTTAACTCTTGTAGACTTACTGTTACATTGTTAATTTAATTGTATCAAAGCAGCTAAATGCTAACAAAGCTAGCTGCTATACTAGCTGTCTGAGGCTAACGTGTCGCTAATACAACTGCTAATTTACTGCTGGGCTAACTGTTAAATGTCTTGCTGTTTGAATTGTTACTCGGGTAGACTTCATGTTAATGTGTCACTGGTGGTACTTTATTTCTTCCTGGTTGAAGGGGTGCAGTGTCACTTCTTTGAAAGTTAAATACACTTTTACTACAGTGGCTAAATCCAGTTTCCTTCTTACTCTGCCGATGTATTTTTAAACTACCTTTGTTCTGTGTTAATGTTTCTGACCTATGAGGGTGTTTTCTGATGTCGTCATTTTTTATGGTGTGATCATTATCAATGAGTTTCCAAATAGTCTTTTGACGCAACTGCTACTGGTAAATGCCAACTGCTTTGACACTGTGCTTGGATATATATATATATATATATATATATATATATATATATATATATATATATATATATATATACTGTATGTTTAGGTATTTTTTAGGGGCAGAAAAATACCTAAACATATGATAAAAGCATAAATCCTTTGACCATTACGTTTTGCCATCATATTCTGGAGAATGTATGTTGGAGTTGTTTAGTTTGGCCTCAATGGCTATGAAATGCACACTGGGATCCCTTTCCTGTAGTGAAAGCACTGTTACAGTACACTAATGATCCAGTTTGGACAACATCTTCAACCCCGGCCACTAAACCTTACATGACTCCCGTTTAGAGTGGCTGGGTTAAGTGAGCGGAGCACGGCCGGCTGCCTGTCATCATCTATTATTCATGTTGCCGGCGGGCTTCTGATACCTGATCCAACATCTTTGTTTGAAGTCACAGAAAAACAAACTCAAACATAAACTGTGTTGCCTTATGCAGGGCACGAGCCATTGCTAGTTATATAATGTATAACAAGTCTTACACTAAGTCTTACACACTTACACATCAAAGGGTATGCTAATAACACACACTACGCATTCACTGTGTCTTAGTTACTGTAAGAGCGGCTATAGTATCGCCAGAGGGTTGGTCTTCATGATGCGGAAGAACAATGTTGAAATAGTTTAATAAATGGCCATAAACACATCAAAGACAAAACGCTCACATCCTGGATTGTAGATAACAGAATACCTTCCTTGTGTTTCCGTTCATTAATTGGGAGATTGCAAAAGCCAACTGAGTGTAAACATATTCACACGTACCTAGGGAGCGTGAGGATATGGTGTGGAAAGCCCTCTCCCCAATCTTTGAAAGTGCACTGAAGTAGGCCTCACTGGTTACTGCCAGATCTGAAACACACACACACACACACACACACACACACACACACACACACAAACAGTCATTTGAAATGCAAATGTTTTTGTTGCAAATAATTTCCCCTGGCATAGAACTACAAAAGCAGCTAAACAGAGCCATTAATCATGAGTATATGTTATAATTAGATATGTTTAATTATAAACAGGAGCATAAAATCACATCAAAATCACTTTCCTTTCGATTGCAATAACCATGAAATCTTTCTTTGCCTTCCTCCCTTGCTATCATTTTTGCCGGGTATCATATTATGGCATATGAATCCGTACCATTTTTTAAGTCATTTTGTCTGTTATCTCTACGCATGTTTGGCTCTCCCTGTGCTATTTAAGGTAACAAAGTATAAAGAGTGAGAAAGTCCATCCAAACCAGAGGATGGGGTAAAATAAAAAGCCAAACTATCTTTTCCTAAACCTAATCAAGTAGTTTTTAATTCACAACTCCTCCATATGAGACATGTTATTCATGGTAAATGGGTGATTATGACACAATATCATCTTAAATGACCCCCAAAATGTCCTTAAAAGTGGTAGGCCTATGCTTTTTATACACCTTCCCATAAAATCACATTGTGCATTTAGACAACCTGCTATTATGGTTAAATGTCTACTCAAGGCTTGTTTCCCTTTACATATCCCAAAATGCAGTAACCCTAACCCTACTGAATGAGGAGCCTTCTTAATTATACAAAAAAAATCTGATTTAATCTATAAAAAATGTATGATTTCAAATTATAACTAAACTAACAGTAGTGCCAAATCTAGGGGAAGCTAGCGGCTAGCCTTGGCTCAAACTAAATGTATATTTGTTATCGCTTTGTAGGCCTACTTGAATTAAATATACATATTGATGAATTAACATCTTGGGGATTTAGTTTGTTATCCCAAACAAATAATATTGTAGCTAAATCCAGTCATTGAGAACAAAAACAGCTAAACTAGTCCTGCCTAAAGATAACTAGCTTAGCTTAGCAGAGTAAGCTAAGTAAATGGCATAGGTTTTAACTAGTGAATTCATGATTAGATTTGGTGTGGTTACGTTTTTTTAAATGACATTGTAATGTATTTAATTGAAAATAATTTATAATTTGGATTTAAATCTTCTTTGAATGTTTTAAAGCCTAAATACATTTCTTCCAGCATTTTTTCTAGTTACTGCTATCTGCATTTGTAGGGCGGTAAAAGTCAAATGGGGTGAAATCTCAGTTTGACCTCAATTAAATGTTCGGACAGGTTTAGATCCCAAAGCAGAGGTTTGCTGGTCATATGGTAAATGTTCTGTATTTAGCTCTTTGCTACCATAGTGGAAACAGCGCAGAGGAGGTGATTACTCTTCTGCTGCATTTTTTAATAAGGTGAGAAAGACTTGTTTTTAATGAATGGGGATACAGCCAATGCAAACCAACCAATCAAGCACTCCCAGAGACTGTGAGACTAATACATATCAATAGTTAAAATCAATGTGATGGTGCTTTAATAACAATAGGGAGATCCTGAGCAGCATCCACTACCGATTTAAAAAGTTGATTATTATTAGGAGGGGAAGATGCTTCAGTAGAATCCAAACACTGATTTAGATTTGGTTTGAGCTTTAGCTTATTAAAATGTCATGTATTTATTGCACTTCCCTGAGGGGATTTATAGACTCTGGGACACATAATAATCTGTACTTTATGTCTGCTAGGCTTCTGGTACAGCGGCGCTCCTATGGTGTATTTGATGATGTATTATTACTGCTCTTGCAAATATTAAACACCTACTATGATGTTGAATAATGTTAAAAGCTTCACCATAAATGTTACTGTCAGTGAACTTAATTTGCATGACAACATCTCCCATTGAATGCACTGCACAGGGATTAGAAGATATGTTAAAAATGAAGACATAAAATACAGACACAATTAATATGCCTTCAGGTTTAATGAAACACTAGTCACAAATAGAGCAGAGATACAATTTCAAGACTCAGTATCCCTGCCTCTGTATGTGAGAATAACATATCCTGTAGTTGTGGTGCATTGTTTGTTTGTGAAAATATACTATAAGCTATTTATAACAACCTCTGGGTTACAGGCCCATAATAAAGGCGATAATAGCACCAGGATATTACCAAAGCATGTGGACTTTGAATTAGGTCTAGTTGACCCGACAGCTTCCATGTAAAGCCATTAGAGGTTGGTTCATTTACTGCCATTTTAACAGGGCAAAAATGACCTTAAAGTAAAAAGTCTCATAGGGAGATGTTCTTTCTTACCCTGGAAAGCTTGGACGTAGCTGTTTCCCAGTGAGACCAGTTTCTGTAGGCTTGGGTTGAAGTCGTCCATCAAGCTCTGAAAAAAACATACACACAGCACATGTTCTGTTAGATATTTCAAAGTCAGAGGAACTTTAAAACCAAACTAAAGGGGAGTCAAAGGATCCATCTTTAATTCAATCTATATTTATGAGCACAGTCTACCTCCATACTCTCGTGAATTCACATCATGTTTGCTTAGCAGAGAAGACCTTAAAAAAACGTCACTCCTAGAAATGTAATATTCTCCAGAAACTGCGCTAGTTCATAGAAAAGTATCTGAAGAAGAGATCAAAACACATGACAGGACACTCTTACTCCTGTGGTTATCTTTAGCACCTCGTAGGTAAGTTTGTTGTCTAATTTGAGCCTCCATACTGAGTATCTGTTACTCACCGAGTAAATCCCCATGGTGGAGCGATACAGCTGATCACTATTCATCCCCGACATGTTTATATCCGCAGTAGCTGTCAGCGAAGCCTTGAGAAAGGTTTGCAGGGTTTTAAATAATCCGACAATTGTACCACAGCCTCTGTAAAAATGGAGATAATAGTATTAAACTGGACGTGGAGTTGAGGAGAGGCGGAAGTGTGTGTTAGTGTGTTGGTAACTGACACCACTGTTGCCTGAGAAAGACTGGAGTAAATAATTAAACATGGCCCGGCCATAAAACACACAGACATATGCTGTAAACCCTGGGCGTGTATGTGTGTGTGTGTGTTGTGGGTGTGTGTTGTGTGTGTTTGCCTGATCCTATGTTTTATTCAAGACTATAACAGAGATCTGTTTTCACTCTGTACTTCATAAAACCCTTAAATATACAGCAAACAACAAATACTTTTAGAAATTAGTCATGAAAATCAGAAGCCCTGAAAGGCAAGTCAAAGAAAAATCGTTTAAGTCTGATTTAAATCGTTTTTTTTTTTACTGCAGTGTTATATTATTATATTATATTAGATAATGTTATTATATATATTTTTCACAAAACACTACAGCATTTCAGAAAAAAAAAAAGTTGTAATTAAATATTAATCAGACAACATGAAATGCTCTGCTCATGAATGAAACCATGGAGGACGTTTGTATTGAGAGGAAAATACACGCAAAAAATGTGTCTATAGTCACACATTTTAAGCATTAACATAAAATGGGGCTATATATAAAATATGATTTACTTGACTTATCTAAACCATAAACTGTAGTTGTAATTCGCATATTTTGAAATCTGTGATCCAACTCCTTTAATACAGTTATGCCACCTATATTTCTGCGTTTTGATTGGTTAATGCAGAATTCAGTGGTCATATGTGCTAAAAAATCCCATAATCCTTAGACTTTAATCACTTTAGATGTCAAAATCCTACTTGCACTGCACGGGACAAAAAATACACAGTTTTAATATGAAAACAGACATTTACTAAAACATTGAATTCATCTTGGTCATTGGGCTTTTTCTAGTTTGCACACTTACACATAAGATATACTGGTTACTGATAAAACATGCAGTTCTTCCACCAATAAGCGCCAAAAAAAAAAGGCAGGGAGAGAGTTTTTCTGCTAGATTTGATCAAAAACTCCAGAGAATCTGAACGAAAGTCATTGATTTTTCTTTTCTTACTCACTTCAATCATCATATTTTAGCATTCAGCCCACTCCTGTTGCGAAGCTGAAACACACACGTGGTTGAGCTGCAATCGGCCCACAGCTCCGAATGATTTATTATTCTCAACCCTGCAGATTTGTTGTTCCCGTGACATGTCAGAGTCAGTGAACTCCCCATGAACTCCCGGAGGAGAGATGCAGGTATCACATGAACGCATGATGTATTCCCTTTGGTGAAGGCATGTAGGACGGTGTTGTAATGTGTTATTCTCTTCACTGCATGCATGTAGTAGTAGAACCTTTATTTAGCCACAGGCATGTGAGAGAATTAAGACAGGAAGTAAAGACGTAAACTGGGAGACCTTTGGTTCGTGGTGTAATTGAATAATAATAGATTAGAGCGATAGAGAGACCTTGCACACTAGATGGCACCATAAACTAGTGCACACATGACTTGAATTTTAATCAGCTTCTTGATGCACTTATTTGATATCTCTTGTTAATTCTTCTCATTCTTTCTTTTTCATAATTTCAATATTTTAGATGTTAGCACCCATATTCTTACACAAGAAGCTGACGTATATAGATCTAGTGACGCATATTGATTGTAACCTATCAAATATCTGATCACAGGCCTTCAGAGACGGAAGAGATATTTAGATGCTTTTCTTAAAGGGGTCCTTTTCTGTTCATTCTCAGGTTCATATTTGTATGTTGTCCCTCTACAAACAAGCATAATAGGGCCCCTTTAAAGACATAATAGGAGAAGCCAATACTCTATTCCAAGTATTGAAGTGAAAGGCTTGTATGTAAAGTATTATATTGCAGCAAAATGTACCCTGTTTACATATTGGCAGCATTTCAATGTTACCAGATGTTACAAATTGATTATTTCATTGTTACAGTGCAATTTGTTCTAGAATATTTGTAAATATATTCGTAAAATCTTAGTCTGAAAAGTAACTATTAGATAAATGCTATGGAGGAGTAAAGAATACAGTAGTTTTCTTCGAATAAGTGTAGTAGAAAGTAGAAACGGGGTAATACTCAAGTGAGCACATGTAACCAAAATGTACTTTTTCCACCACTGCAGATTATTATAGCTCTTAAATGTACACACACTGATCAATCTGCTGACACAGTGACCTTTAAACAGGTTATTAAATTACAGCTGATGAAGGAGCAGCACACACTACAGAATAAAATCAACAGAAGAAGAAAACATAACAGTAACACGAAATGTTTCTCTGCCACAATTAATGTTGCCTCCAAAGCTCATGAGAGGTTAAGTCCCTTACTTACAAAGTCAACAGACAAATCATGGCACCGTGTCTCCTGGTAGGAGCAATGTTTTTCAGCTTTTTGAGTTATTGAGCAACTCGGAAATCCCCCGGTAAAGATTATTGCTCAAATCCTGAGCAAAAAGTGCATTAAAAAGATGAAAAATCCCCAACGAAGGAAAACTTTTAAAGCTCTAAAATCACTGCAGCACACAACAAATAGGTCAAGGGTGACTTCAATGATAAATTGAGCTTACTGGCTTCAGCTCGAGGCTTTTATCGACATATTAGATCAGTGTTATGTTTCGAACATGAGGAGTCCAGAATGCTTCACCCACACTGGTCTTTTTAATCCACTTCATATCTCAGATCCAGTGGACTAAAAATGTGCTCTGCTGTAGTTTTCGACCTTTTGACATGTCGATTAAAGGAAAAAAATATTTGAATACCCAAGTGCATCCATGTAGAGAGCCATATGTGTGCGTTTATATATTCATCTTCCTGAAATACAGAGATAAAAACAATTTAAAGCTACAAGCATCATTAGGCGCAGTTCTGCAAACCGCTGCTGCGAAGCTATTTGCACCCGAAAATGCCTCGAGCGTTATTTTATGAACACAAATGCTCTGCACTCAGACATCGTTCTTACTCATGTGATGTTTTGCATTTACTCTTCGCAGGCTCTCTTCAGGAGTACTTAACAATCCACTTTGCTATTCTAGTGTTCCTGTGAAGAAGAGCTGGAGCTATTTTCTGCTGCAGACATGTCTCACGATGTCTCAAGATGTCTCACGCCGTTTCCCCCTCCTCACACATCTCTTGCAAGTCTTAGCTCAAATCCCCTTAATACTCGTGTGAGAATGCACATCACACTCTGGTTTTATACACATGGGGAAGACTTTTCCCACACCTCTCTTTTTCTGTTTCTCTGCCCCTCTGCATGCTCATAAATGTATTTTTCATTACATGTGTTTGTGCATATCACATCCAGATTAAAATGTGTTTTTTTACTGGTGAGCATGGTTCAATGAAACCAGCTTATAGGGCTCTCACACACTCCCTCTAGGGCCATTATTCTGTCATTTCTGCTGCAGTAGAGCTGTGCTAAAGGGGGCCTTGAGGCTGACTTATGACCATGCACACATCGCATTACAGTAGTCATATGAGGTGTTTGCTGAGCAACAAATATTAAGCCGAAGGGAAGGGAAATAATACTTTGTGATGATGAAGAAAATCCAGCTTGAAGAAATAGAAACGTCGCATAGAAGACACAAATGTACCTTGTTTTGATGCTGTATGTGGATTTTCACATGTTGATCGAACATCTGGTGTGTTACTAAAAGCAAAGTTTATTATAGGTTGGGATTTTCCTATCACAGATTGAACATTGCTGGAAAAGTTATCTCTAGGCTACAGGAGGAAGATATCATCGAGAAATGTGCTTATGTCACTGCATGGATCTCTCTCTCTTTTACTCGCTAACCCCTCACCCCCTCCCCCATTCTGCTTCAGTATTAACAGGCTGTATTTCTGCCTGAATACTGAGCACATGCGCGCTGAATGGGGGGAGGAGGTGTATCACAGTCTGTCTGCTTCTCATGTGTTCGGTTGACTCAATTATGGTGCGGATCTCTTTTATTTTCTAATCATCTGTTCTTGTGGGAAAAAAAGTGAAGAAGGGTTGTTGTTTTCTACATTTAGAGACATGCTAATAATTTGACACTTTGGAGCTTTTTTTTGTTTGAGTCTTTTCATTATTAGATTTTTTTTCTAATACTCGATCTACCCAGCCGCAAACCTGAAGTTCATCGTTATTATTTTAGCCGCCGGGATGGTGGCCTTCGTCGGAGCGGTTATCTGCATCATCGCCGCCGTCCACACCGGATCCTCCAGGGCTGCCGCGGCTCAGCAGAGACCGCCAGCCGACAACCACTCTCTGTATCCGGATGTGCATCAGAGCCGCGGCGCGTCGGGCTCCGTGGCTCGGCCCGGATCTCTGGGAGCTCTCCATGGTTCTGAAACACCCGATTCAGAATCACCCACTTTCAATGTTGGTCTCGGAGGGCTGGACGGGGTCAGTGGACTCACCGGGCATGACCCCACGGTGAGTCGACTCATCTGCACACCGATACCAGCTGGAGAGTGCAACCCGAAAAACTTTCAGCAACAAGCGGATGATCCGTCGCTGTACGCCGGGGAAGACTGGGGGTATCTCCGGACCACCGCCGAGGAGCTCCGGCAGACCGTGCTGCAGCAGAAGGACCAGATACTGACGGACCAGAGGACCATCCAGGAGCTCACGGGGAAACTAACCGAGTGTGAGAAGGGGTTGGACGGCAAGAGCATCGTGGAGAGACGAGGCAGCGCTGCGGGGCTGTGGGGGGGCAGAGCCACCGCGGAGGAGACGCACCTGGAGCGGGTCATGGTGCGGGACAGCCCGGGGTCAACACCTGAGAGCGGCCACCTGCTCACCGTGAGGGCTGTGGATGAGCTGGAGCAGGCGATCACCCAGCTCAAAGACCGCATAGAGAAACTGGAGGTATGTGAAGAGAATCAGCCCTTCATTAATCATCTCCTGTATAAAACCATACAGCAGTGTTTGGTCCCATAAGGAGATTCAATGGCTTACAGTTATGGCAATGGAAATCCTAAGTCCCAGGCTCCTCCAACAATGCAACATAGATAAGACATAAAACAATAAAACACATTTAAAAAACAATATAGAAGAAACAGAGTAGAAGTGAAATAGTGCAATATTATTTTTGCAAGACCAATATGCAATGCAGGATAATTCCCAGATTCACATGGTGTTTCATGACCTGTGCTTTAAATAGTATTGTTTTACTCCAACTTTAGCTACATTTCACTGTAACACCTGATGATCTGATTAGATATGTGTCTCCTCTAGTCCCTTTTAAGATTCCTGGGAATGCATGATTGGTTTTAAAGGCAAGGGCTTTTAATTTTGAATGAGAACAAGTGAGTTATCCAAAAGATTTATCATATTAGATATTCACAGCCAGATTTAAGACTCCCTTCATTTTTGACAGAAAATCCATTTGAAATGCCTCTTGATTTTAAATGTTGTAATCATCAACAGTGATATTGTTATAAGTGTTACTGTCTTTAATTATACATCAAGCGGTTGGTTTGACGAGCATGCTTCAGTAGATTTTCACTCCAAGAAAACAGATTGACCTTTTTAATTAAAAGAGAGATAGATGAAAGGTAACAGAGAGAATTAGGGGGAAGATAAGAGGGGGAGGAGGGGGAGGGGTACATGAGGATAAAGGTAGGAGAGAGGAGAGAGGATGCATCAGGAGGCGGAGAAGAGCGCAGAGTAAAATGAAACGTGCTTCTCTCCTCTGACCAGGACATGATGATGTATATCCTCATTTTCGGCCAAATAAATCACATCCATAATTCACGAGTTGCCTAAATGTGTAGAGATCGCAGACTAAACACGCTGCAGTACTCCTCACTCTGGTTGTGTATGTAGGACACGTCGTCACCACTGTCAGATAAAATCCCCCAGCATGCTCAAGGGTTGAATAATAATCACACTGTTTTTACACTTTCATTAACACATTTCTCTTTGACAGGAAGCGATTTAAATGGATTTAGGTCTCAGGGTGAAATGTAGTTGAACCTAAAAAAAACAATACTCTGGTGTTCATTTCTATTTACAGGGTCTACTTGGCCTTACTGTATTTCATTATCAGGGGGGGGGGGTGGTGTTTACATTCAATGTGTACTGGTAAACAAAGAAGAAGAAGGAATAAAGTTCGGTCAAATAACTGGTTTAAATTTCCATCAGATTTCTCCACAACCCTAAGCATTCAGAGTTAGGCTTTTGACATATACAAAGAAAAAAGCAACAAGTTTAAAGGACTATTTTTGGGAAATATGCATCTTGCTTAGAGGCAGAAGAGAACATCCACTACTCTTATATCTGTCCTTTCAGTATACAGCCATTTTGTTTAATACCTAGCTTAGCATAAATAATGTAAACAGGGGAAAACGGTTAGCGTGGCTCTGTCTGAGGGTAAAAAGGGATACATCTACATTTCGATAATTAGCAGTTGTGAGACTTTGTGTCTTCATATTAATGAAGACACAATATGATTGCGATTTAACAAAACATTTGCAGAGTATTGCGATATATTGCAATTTATAGAAACATTTCCCCAAACTCTACTAATGTAACACGTATCGTATTCCATAACACATTGTACGTGATAGGCTAAGGGGCGGGACATCTCTAAGCGGTTGACCAATCACAACAGAGCCGGCCAGCTAACCAATCAGAGAAGACTGGGCTCTGGTTTCAGACAGAGGGTGAAAAGAAGTACTGCAGCACAGGTAGTTTGAGACAAATAAAGAGCTTTTTGAACATTAAAGCATGGAGACATGTCACAGTACACTACATACTGATATGAAGCTGAACATGAGAATAATATGGCCCCTTTAAGGACCAAACATAACATGAACCACAGCATAGGGAAACCTTTTGAATCAGCCCTTCGTTGTATCCGTATTTGTGATGTAATGTCTCAGCATAATCAATTATTCATTGGGTGTAATAACTTTTCTTTGCATGCAACAGACCTAATGTTGAGATGTATGCTGTAGTAGTAGTAGCAGTACATTACATTACATTACATTGCATTTAGCTGACGCTTTTATCCAAAGCGACTTACAATAAGTACATTCGACCAGGAAGACACAACCTTGAAGAAAACAGAATCATATAAGTACATCAGGTTTCATAGAGCCAAACATTTCAAGTGCTACTCAACTGGCTTTAGGTAAGCCAGTCCTTTATTAGTATATAAGTGCTTTGTTAATAGTTCTAACGCTCGAAGTGGAGTCGAAAGAGATGAGTTTTCAGTTTGCGCCGGAAGATGTGCAAGCTATCTGCCGTCCTGATGTCAATGGGGAGCTCATTCCACCATCTTGGAGCCAGGACAGCAAACCCACGTGTTTTCGCCGATGGGAACTTGGGTCCCCCTCGCAGCGAGGGCGCAACGAGTCGTTTGGCTGATGCAGAGCGTAGTGCACGCGCTGGGGTGTACGGTTTAACCATGTCCTGGATGTAGGAAGGGCCAGATCCATTCGCAGCACGGTAAGCAAGTACCAGTGTCTTGAAGTGGATTCTAGCAGTTACCGGAAGCCAGTGAAGGGAGCGGAGGAGCGGAGTGGTGTGGGAGAATTTAGGAAGGTTGAAGACCAGACGAGCCGCTGCATTCTGGATGAGCTGCAGAGGTCGGATGGCACATGCAGGTAGACCAGCCAGGAGGGAGTTGCAGTAGTCTAGGCGTGAGATGACGAGAGCCTGGACCAGAACCTGAGTCGCTTTCTGAGTCAGCTGGGGACGTATCTTAGAGAATCAGTAGTAGTAAATACATCATCTCACCAGAATTTAAGATGTATTTTAACAGCATGGTGCAGACAGTACTTTACAATATGTTCCAAACCAACACAAGGAACCTCTTTTCATCCTCTGTCTCCAGTTCAATCATATACAGGCTTCCCTTTATGCAGACGTAAGGCAAACAAGTTCAAATGATGTGAATGTGCAGCTGTAATGATTTTTGATTTCTATTCCATTACATTTGGTACCACATCTGATAGCAGTATGAGTGAGTAGTTGTGCTTTTTTCAGTAAGATTTCCATCATATCCAGAGGCTTAATGATCGTAAGTGCTCTGTAATATCATGCTGATCCAGCTCGAGTGCGGCGATTTTTAGCACTGTGCTTCACTCTACAGTAAGTAGGCTTGTGGCTGTATTTTAGTGTGCGGAGCCATGTCTTCTAGCCTATCCTATGTGGATTTTTAAAAATATATTATATAAAAAGATGCTTGTTTTCATTCCCTGAAAATCCACGAAATAGCTGGGTAAAATATTTCAGTTAGGACCGAGGTGGTGTACCAACCAACAGACTGACAATGTGTGGCTGATAAAAACACAAAAGGCACCAATATGTTAGGCACACTCGACTTAGTTTTAAAGTTGATATGGATATGTAAGTATAAACTACTATATTTAATATCTTGAGACCAGCAGTGATGCTTGCAACACCCTTGTGATAAATTGAGCCGTTTTTCTCTAGAAAGGTTTTACATCTACAGGAGTAAATACCTGCCTTGAAGGCCGACCCCAGGCTCCATAACAGAACTGTCAAATGTATTTGAGAGCAGATCACTCATCATGCTGAGACTCAGGACAGCAAATGCATCATAGTGCACAGTCTATTCTGCAGCAAGGTGCACACAGATCATTTTGTGTTAACATTTCAAGTATTTCTGGTGTTGATTTGACCACAAAATGTAGCTTTTCCCCAGGATAATAGATGTTATTTTAGGAATAAAATCTCATCCTGTATGGCCTTAGTTTATCATCTCATATAATAGAGGTGAAAGCTGCACGCTGTGTGGCTTTTATGTGTTGTTGTGTTCTGTAGGTGTATGTGTTTTCTGTAATAACTCCCTCGGGGAGAGTATGTATTTCTGCACCATGAAAAATTGTTCTCAGTGGATATACTGGACCACGCAGGTTTTAGGAATCTTGCAGCGTCTGTATTTCCAACAATACTCCAGTGAACTATTATCCTTGAGCCTCGAAAGTAAATGTGTTGTTGACGGGAATAGTTGATTCTCTTTGCAGTCTTTTTGTACCCATAACTTCACGCGTGAGCTGTAAAATACAAACCCTGGTCCAGTCATGCCAGACGTTCCAGAGCATCGGAGAACATCAACAAATAAAACCTCAAATAAAACACAAGCAATGTTGCAAAAGCAGCCCTGTTGTAGCTGAACTGTGGTAAGCTTTGATATTCAATATGTCAAAAAAAACACCAAGTTTAAAGAAATAGTTTTACATTTACATATAGTATATATATATATATATATATATAGTGCTCAGCTACAGCCAGTATCCAGTTAGCCTAGTTTAGCTTAGCGTAACAACTGGAAACCGCTAGCCTGGCTTTGTCCAACGGAGCAGAATCCATCTAATGTTTAAAGGTCACCAATGAGCACATTATATCTCATTTGAGTAATACAAAAGACAAAGTGTATTTGTATAGGATAAGTCTGATAATGATTTAGCTTCTGGGGGCAACGGCTAACATGTCAGGCCTAGACTTGGTCTACTATGCGCTTTTTTCATTTTTGACAGTCCTGTTAGCATCTTGAGACACGAGATCGCTAAAGCTCCAAAGCTAATACAAATCGAAATGGTTTAAATTAGCCTATTTTGCTTTTCTCACGGATGGTTTACCAACATGCAACCAAAACCCACTCGAACGTTTTCGGTCAATCCTACTTGGACTTTTAAAAGAAAGCAAACCGAAACGCTTGCGATACCAACATCTTGTCCCGTTGCTTACAGAATTAGGAAATTCAAGATTAGGTTAGGAAACAATTTGTATTTTTTACGGGGGGTTATTTGCAGGACTATTTCTTGGCAGAGTACCTGACAACCCAGCAGAAAAAAGTCCTTAAAGTAATGTTGAACTATCCTTTAAGGAGCAAACATTGAATTTCCTTCAGCACAGTGAAACCTTTTCAACCAGCCCCTAGTTGTTTCCCCAGGCGTGATGTAATGTCTCAACAAAATCAATTATTAATCAGGTGTAATCACTTTTCCTCGCATGGGCATGCAACCAACCTAATGTCGAGCTTCACTGCTATAGTAGTAAACACACTATATTAACTGAACTTTAGATGTGTTTATAGTGCAGTGATTACAATATGTTCATAGAAAACTTCTGATAGAAAACCCAAAATACATAGTTTGTACTAGTGTTTTTCTTTTTTAATGTTTTTAAATATTTTGATATTTGACGGAGCAGGGTGTACTTTTATATATCCTTTATTTAACCAGGTAAAAGACTCATTGAGATTAAAATCTCTTTTCCAAGAGCGACCTGGCCAAGAAGGGCAGCATGTACAAAGTTACAACAGATAAAACACAGACATGACAGGCAGACAAATACAGCTGTAAAACACAAATAAAATGGCACATTAGCCAGTCAATATGCGAAGTAAAACAAAATATTAAAATCATTCAAAACTGGCAAAATTTAAAACGATTTTAGGATATACGAGCACTCACATCTACCAATGGTGTCGTGTTCTCTGTCCTTTAAGATGGACCTGAATTCCCCCATAGTGATTAAATCTGAGAGTTTCAGCTCCTTCTGTACATTGTTCCAAGCTGTGGGGGCAGCATATCTAAAAGCTGTTTTACCCAGTTTTGTTCTCACTGTAGGGACCAGCATCTGATTAAAATCTTGGGAGCGCAGGCCATATAGACTTTCTCTTTGACACATATATGTGCAAATGTAGGAGGGAACCAACCCAAGCAGAGATTTATAAATAAAACCCAACCAATGGGAAAGTCTGCGAGCAGACAAAGATGGCCAATTAGCAGCAGCATATAAAGTGGAATGGTGTACTCGATATCTACATCCAGTGATAAATCGTAAGGCACAATGGTACACAGTATCCAAGCTCTTTAGGCATTGGTCAGAGGCATTCATGTATAGCAGGTCACCATAATCTAATACAGGTAAAAACGTTGCAGATATCAGATGTTTCCTTGTCTGAAAAGAGAAACAGGATTTATTCCTGTAAAAGAAACCTAATTTTATTTTTAGCTTTGAAACATTTTCCGTGTGTAACTTGAAAGACAAGTTCTGTTCAATAAGAAATCCCAGATATGTGTAAGTAGTGACCCTCTCAATGTCAGTCCCTTGTGCAGTACACATCTTGGGTAGAATAGATGGTAACTTTTTGCCATTCGAAAATATCATCACTTTGGATTTTTCAGCATTTAATACCAACTTCAGTTGATATAAATGGGTTTGTATGACATCAAAGGCAGACTGGAGGAAATCTAGACTTTGCTCTATAGAAGCGGAGGAGCAATACATAACAGTGTCATCTGCATAAAAATGGTAAGAAGCATTTGCTAAATTATTACATAGATTATTTACATATATGGTAAAAATAATGGGTCCTAATATGGAACCTTGTGGCACACCCTTTGCTATCGGGAGGAAGGAAGAAAAGGACCCAGAAAATTGGACGCATTGGGTTCTCGCTGATAAATAATTTAAAAACCAACCTACAGTATGCCTAGATAAGCCAATACTGTGAAGTCTTTCCGTCAGGATGGTATGATCAACTGTGTCAAATGCCTTTGACAAATTAATAAATAGAGCTGCACAATACTTTTTACAGTCCAATGCCTCAATTATGTTGTTCACCACTTTAATAGCAGCAGTTGTTGTGCTGTGTTGTTTTCTAAAACCGGATTGGTGTTCTGACAAAATATCATTTGTGTCCAAGAATAATTTAAGTTGTTCACTGAGAAGCTTTTCGAGGACCTTCGCTACAACACATAATTTTGAAATTGGCCTATAATTATTAACAGATGAGGGATCCCCTCCTTTCAGTAAAGGAAGAACATATGCAGATTTCCATATGTTAGAAATCTCATCGTTGGAAAGAGTTAAATTAAAAAGATAAGTAAGCGGCTCAGCTATAAAGTCTGCGGCTAATTTAAGAAAATGAGGAGGAAGTTTGTCCGGACCTGCCGATTTGTGTGGATCCAGATTCTGCAATGCTTTATGGACCTCTATCACCTCGATAAAAGTAAAATTGAATGGCTGAGCCATGGGATGGGACTTTTATTAGAGATGTGTCTGTTGTCTGTGTTTGTTTTTAGAGTGTGTCAGGATGCATCCCTTGTCTTTTTATCTGCAAACTAAATCTACCTACGGTTACAAATAAAGAACCTGAATCCGAACCCACTCTCTGAACGAGTTTGTATCCATTGTCTCCTTCCTCTGCAGGCAGACGTTGGCCCGTTTACTCACAACCAGACGGACAGCAGCACCTCAGGAGCGCCAGGAGAGGGCGTGACGACTGGCGGCCAGGAAAGGTTGGCTGATCCAGGGCAGAGAGCTGGCGCTGAGAGGCCCTGTAGGGTGGAAGACCTGGAGGGGGAACTGGAGAAAAAGGTGGAGCTGCTGGAGAAAGAGAGAAAAAGCCTGAGGCTGGAAACTGAGAAGCACAAAGAAGAAATCGACCACGGCATTAATAAACTCCACCACCGACTCTCAGGACTGGAGGGAGGTAGGAATTACAGACAGGAGGGGAATCAGAATGTGTGTGTTTGTTTTAATGGGTAAATGGAAAGTAATTATAGGTAATTTGATGGATCACTTGCATGATCACTGAAGTCTGTAATGATGAGGAAGGATCTTCCATAAAAGTGACCTCGGATGATCGGTTGTGTATAACTGTTGATCAAATCAAGCCATGGTGTTTCTTTATGATGAATAAATCATGTTTAAAAAGATCAGAAAGACTATGAAATCAATCCCCTGCTTGAAAAAGACAGATCAGATGTTTTGATGTGAAAAAGGAGAGCTACTGTTGATGAGAAAAGCAGGAAATATTTTTGATCCTCTTGACAAATAGATGAAATGAGTTCTGCTTTTACTCTCTTACACTTCTTTTGTTTCCATGCTCTCCAGGTGTCTCAGGGCATTCTTTCCCAGAGGGATACAGGCTGTCCTTTCCAACTCGGACAAACTACATGTACGCTGTCGTGAAACACGCCATCCCGGCGCTGCGGGCGTTGACCGTGTGCCTGTGGCTGCGGCCCGCGGAGGGAGGGATCGGGACGCCGCTGTCTTACGCTGTTTCCAAACAACCCAACGAACTGGTGCTGATGCAAGGCCTGCACACCCCCGCTGAGCTGCTCATCAATGATAAGGTACTGAATCTGAGCGTCCACTGTGTCCACTAAGCTGACTTATCTGATGCAATAGTTTAACATTTTGGAAGTATGCCTCTTCGCTTTCTTGCAAAGGTAGAGACGATACAGACAACTCATATCGGTCAGTTACAGATGTATCCGCTGCTAGAGTTTAACATTTTTAAATATGCTTTTCTGATTTCTTGGAAGTGGTCGAGAAGATTCAGACCAACCATATCTGTCACTTCAGTATGCAGCTTAACTTAGCATAATGATTGGAAACAGCTAGCCTGGCTCTGTTTGAGGGTAACCGAAATGTACTAAACTTAAAGCACGCTCAAGTTCAATAATTAGCATGTTCCATGTCTCATTTGAGTAATATGTCCAAAAGATACATGGATGGAAAATGTGGATTTCCCCATGGAAAGGTTGGAAACGGACAATCAGGAAACGTATACCACCTCTCAGGGGAACAACCAATATTTTGGGGGTTCCAGTGTAGGTGGCAAACAAATATCCAATTACCCATAACTAGAACACATCATGTGGAAGAGCATATTTATCAGACACAGTTAAATAGCTCCATTCCTATATTTGAATTGCAAACCATATTGAGAGCACTGCAGGGTAATGAAATGCAGGGCTGTGCTTTAGGTAAAGTTTAATGAATTCACTATGGTAATAGATATAGGGGGAAAGTTCTGTGTCCTTGAAGGTAGCAGGATGTCTTTGGGACTGAAAATATATCATACAACTGAAGAAATCTGAGACAAATAAGATGTTGAAGGACTGTCAAAAAAGTGAAACAGATAACGCCTGTTGACATCTCTTACCTACAAATCTGTGGTGTGTGTGTAGAGACATCTGCTTTATCTGAACTGCCCTTTTGCTCGTTGATTTATAGGTGGCGCAGTTGCCTCTTAACCTGTCTAAAGGCAGCTGGCAGCACATCTGTGTGACATGGAGCCAGAAGGGAGGAGCCTGGCAGGCCTACCAGGGGGGAAAGCTGAGGGGCGAGGGGCGCGGAGTGGCCGCCGGACATCACGTCAGACCTGGAGGAGTGCTCATACTCGGGCAAGAGCAAGTAAGTGTATGTATGTATGTATGTATGTATGTATGGATGTATGTATGTATGTATGTATGGATGTATGTATGTATGTATGTAGGTAGGTAGGTAGGTAGGTAGGTAGGTAGGTAGGTAGGTAGGTAGGTAGGTAGGTAGGTAGGTAGGTAGGTAGGTAGGTAGGTAGGTAGGTAGGTAGGTAGGTAGGTAGGTAGGTAGGTAGGTAGGTAAGTACTTTATTCATCCCAATTTGGGAAATGTTTGCATTGCAGCAGCATAAAAAAACAAGGCAATGTACATAAGAGAAATTAAGACACAAGAAATAAATAGTCCAAAAATATTTCAGAAATAAAATAGCATTAAAAAGTAAAAAATATATATATATACGTGGATGTGGAAAATATACATGTGGAAATACAACTTCCATGACGAAAAGAGTGATAACGGGCATGATTTCTTGCAAATAAATCTAATTTGGTATCCCCTTAGGCTACTGCTGACTACAGCACTGTAAGCAAAGAGTGAAATTCCCCCTGCAGCTGCAAGGCTATTCACTTACTGACTTATCCATAAGGTGTAGATAATGTTAGTGAATAAATAAAAGCATGAAACACTTTGAGAGCCTTGAAGAAAGTACGACACAGTAAATCTACAAATTCAATTTAGTTTGGATTGTGCTGCTAAACAGAGTGGGATGCCATCTTCTAGTGCTGAGTAGATAAGGTGTGTGCGTGTGAGCGTAATGTTCAAAAGCTGCATTTCCACTGCATGGTATGGCTCTGCTCCACTCAACTCAAGTCCCTTTCTGTACAAGGTACTTTCTTTTATTTAGTTTTCCACTGCGGATAGCACTCAATCATTGTAAGTGGTGTTTTTAGATCACCGACATACAGTAGCTTCACCTTATAAAACTGTCTCAAGCAACACTCACCGGATCCTTTTATCAATCTCTAAACAGAGAAATGTTTGCACCAACACAGCGTAGTATTCTGTGTATCTTTGTGAGATGGCCATTTTAAAAACAATAAATAATTGTGGTGAATTTTAAGATTGCATTTTGTTGCGCTAGATTTTCTCTCAGACCAATACGTGGAGTCCAGTGTTTTAACTTTACCTTCTAGAAGGCTTATAAACTCAGCTCAGACCCTCTACCAACGTAGTACCGAAAAAAGGACCAAGTACTTTCCACAACTTTTGCCAATGGCCAACAAAAAAAGAGCGAGTCAAGTCAAGTAGAGCAATGCGGTAAAATGCAGTAGATATTCAACATCAATTCAGTAGTCTTTCATACATAGGCTACTAGTCACTTTTTTCACATCATATTCATCTTCCTGCAAGAATGAACACAATCCGGCTCAAGGCAACAAAACCATTGAAGCTGTGCTTTTGTATCAAAGTCAACTTTATTGTCAATCTTTCAGTTTGTGTGTACAGACAGAGAGATTGAAATGCCGTTTCCCACAATCCTGAATACGAAAATACAAATATATATACAAATATGTATATATCTATATACACACAATCAACAGACACATTTATACATATGCACACATTAAGACATACAAGCACAACAATCACTATATACAAAATAACAGTTTCCATAACTTTGAGAAATGTGCATTGGTGCAAGACTGTCCATAGCGTATGAAAGTAAAATATATTTTTAAAACATCCTTTCAGTGATCCATCTTCTCTACTTTTTCTTTTTTAAAGGATTCCCTAGGTGGAAGTTTTGACTCATCCCAGGCCCTGGTGGGAGAGTTATCCCAGGTGGGTATTTGGGACCGGGTGCTGTCTTCCAACCAGGTGGCTAGCTTGGCCCGCTGTGGCAAAGTAACCCAGGGCAGCGTGGCCCCCTGGACCGAGAGTGGAGTGGAGGTTAATGGTGGAGCAACGAAGGACCCTGGGGAGCCTTGTAGTAAACACAACAGGAATTCTCAATGACCAATGGGGGAATGGGAAGAGAAGGGAGGGGTAGAGTTATAGTCCTTTCAAGAATGGGTGGATTTTTTAAACAACTCTATGTGGCATGGACTGACAAGTAAATCAAAAATGTAAAGTGAGGCGTTGCAGTTACTTTACCACACTTCTAGCAACCGCATACAGTACAATCATTGAGGTTCACTGGAAAATTGTGCAATACGAGATGAGATTTGTCATACATATAGCTGTATTTTTGGTAGGACAATTCACAGTAATTTCCAAGTTCAAAAATGATATATTGTTCTGTCTCCAGATTCAGGCGACACTAAACTATTTGCTCATTGGTCTTAGCTCATCTAAAAGTTGTAAGCAAACCAGCTAGCAGACAAAGCAGCACGCAACGAATGTTAATGTTAATATGTGAATTTAGCAAACAAACTTCTGTTAGCTATTAATCAGTGATTAATGTACAGGCAATGACACAGTGAATGTTAGCCTACCAATAATAGTATACTAGCTAGCTAAAAAAAACTGTCACTTTCTCAGCTTTAAAGGAATTAAGCATTTTGTTCAGCTAGCAGACAAATCAGTTAGCAACAAACGTGAATGTTAAGATTTAATGGTAGCAGACAATTGAACCTTCTGCTAGCTATGAATCAGTGGTGATGTGTAAGCAATGATGCAATGATAGGTTAGCTTACCAAAACTAGCATGTTAGCTAGCTTACCAATTGTCAATATCTTAACATTAAAGAAATTGTTCAACAATTTACTACTCTCATGTCTTTACAGTTAATATCAAGCTACCGTCAGCAGCTGGCTAACGTAGCTTAGCTTGAAACCGTTAACAGCTGGTGCTAGCTTCATACTAAGCGTAACTACACATGTGAGTATCGAACTTCTTATCAAACCTTCAACAAGATTGTAAACGAGTTATTCCCAAAATGTTTAGTGATGATTAGATTAGTAGAGATGTTGTCATCTGTGCATAAATTACCACTCTTTATTAATTCTAATGGCCTAAACTGGGTGAAATTGAATATGTATTTCACAGTTGTTGTAAGAGCTGCTGACCTCCACTATGGCTGCTAGAAGTTGTGTAAAGCTGAATCCCTCCATGAGTGCATCAAGGTCGTGTTTGAGTAAATTAAGGGCTGCGACAGATTTAGAGATGGGAGTGGTAAGGTGATGAAAGCATTGGAGAATGTTAAGTACCGAGGAGAAGATGATGAAAAAGAAAGGAAAGAGGTAAGAGATAGATCTGACACTTTTAAGGAGTGATGTTACATTGTTTTCACCTCTGCATGATGTATTCATATAATGTCTTGCCACTGCACTGTGCAGCTCACAAGTTTCACGAAAGAATACAGTTCCTCCTGCATCCATTGCTGGTCAAAAACAAAAAAGGTCTTATTCCCTAAGGAAATCAATACCACTAGCTGAATGCTATTATTTTCTGGGGGCACTACACATACTTTTGACAAGCCTTTGCCCCATTTACAACCTCTAGCATCTTGAAGCACACTCTTTGTTATTTTAACATTTTTAGGTTCATACTTGTATTTTCGGGTTTCCAGTAGAACATATTTACTTGCTTTAAAGATTTTTCATACTGTCTTGATGATGGGCTTGCAAGAGCAATATAGCCCACCTTTCCATTGCCAGTTCTCAAGCTGTGTGATGAGATACTCAGATGGAGGATATGTTAAAGAGCCCACATGTGACATAGGAAGAGGGGACACATGTTAATGGTTTGTTTAATGACATCACATTTTATGACCTGTACAAAGATCTGACTGTGATGTCTTATATCACTTGTCTTGGTCAGCATTCCAGATACACGAATGTATGTAAACAAGCACTTAAAGAGATGATATGTTTTCATGGTCTTGAATGTAACCGTGAAACATACATAACATATACCTAGATTATTTTAAAACTGGCATAATGCAACATCAACATTTTTTTTAATATTGACTGTTTTATTTTTGCAATAATATACATGCAACCTCTCAATAATGTGGTTTGATTCGCAAACCTCTAACTCTAACATTCCTACATTCATGCCCGTGCAAAAGTGACGCTTCAGAGAGGTAAGTAGAGAGTCACAGTTTGATATATTGGGCCACTGACCAAGAGAGAAAACACCCTGTGGGAGATGAAGTTAGAAACAGATTGTTCATTTCACACTTTCTCAAACACTGGCTCTCCTTAGCATAAAATAATCCTTAGTGGAAAGTGCCTGACAGGGTGTTTGTACCCATGTAAAAAAGAAAAAACATCTCATTTAATATTCCGTCGGATAATTTTTGCTGCGAGGTGAACTTGAGCTAATTAAGCATCAGTATTTCTGTGAATCCCCTGGTGGATTTTGAAGAGTTTTTGATGAAACATTTGAAAACACAGGATTTAAGTGCGGTGCCGTTGCTTAATCAGGTCAAAATCATCTCGCTGTGCCTAACAGTGTCTTTGAAGAGTCCTCTCAGTCTGCAGTGTTATTAATGTTATTATGCCTGGTGTCTGTTCAGCTCCTGTAAGAGCTTTCTTTTTGGGCTTTTTGATAGTGGTGTGAAATTACTCTGTTTATTGGAATTGAAAGCTTTTTAACTCAAAGAAGTATCGGCAATGTTTTCTTACATGACACATTTGCATTGGTTTAATCTCATGTTGTTGTTTGTATAAATACTGTATGTCCATGACTTGTATGGTGTTGTATTGTTCTATGTGCTGTGTACAAACCTCAAATCTGTATTAAAGTCTTAATTTTTAGATGTAAAGAGTGTGTTTCTTTTCTTAGTCTTTAATACTTGATAAGGTTCAGAAAAAAAGTGATCCTATATTCAAGGACACACACACTTGTAATTCAAGGGTAGCAGTAAGGTCTGCTGTGAAAGTAAACCCTTTCCAGGCTCCATAAGAAACATACTTTTCTGTTTCTGAAAAAGGATATATTTCTTTACTAGCAAATCAAATAAAAAAGCCCAGAGCCTTCTCCCTCAGCTGCAGCATGTACTTCTATTTCAGTAACTGGTGTTTTAGAGGCATAATGGGGTCAAGACCTCACATTCAGTCAAAGTCTCAAATGGACAGCACAGTATTTATAGTATACCAAAAGCACGTGCAGCACTTAGAAGATAGAGCCGACAATACAAAACAGTGACTCAAAAGAATATTTAGTTATTCTTCTTCTTCCTTTTGCATTCATTCAAGACAAAATTGAAACTGATATCAAAGCAATTGTTTGACAATGTGCTTTTTATTGATGAGAGTAACACCTGAAGCTGATCTCCACAGCAAAGAAGAAAAAGACCAACTGAGGAGTTCAGTTTGGTTTGGCACATGATAAGAACCTATTTTCTCCTTGATGATGTTTGGTCATTGACCCCAGACAGGTTAGCAATCCAACTAAGGAACACTTTGCTTTGTTGTTTGATGATTTTGAGTTTGGGTAAATAAAGCCCCTTTGACAGATTCCCAGACTTTGTTTGTTGTGTTTTTCTGTTACCTGCCCAATCCTGTTACAACTAGAAAACGTAGATCTGAAGAAAACTGGATTCAGTTTGGAAAGCAGGGCTATGTGTATTCCCAGAAAGTTGCTCTGTTGCGAGTGAAGCCAAAGCAGTTTGACTCCCTGGTATACGAGTATTCATTGGCACACACACAAGTGTTTTCTTTAACCCAGCCTCAGGCCTACTGAAACAAACAACTCACCTGTGCAAAGGTAATATATGTGCACCTTCAATCCACTCTAAAGCTCACAAATTAACACGTTATACCTATCGTGTTTGTTTGTTCTGTAAAAATCCCGAAATGAGGAGAAAACATTGGAAACATTACTGTTTATACCAATATGTGGTTTAGCGCTAATCTGTCTACAGTAGGCTACAGTTGTACTTTCTGTTTTTTGCTGCTTCAAGCTGCTTCTTTCAGTTCAGTGCAAAAACTATGTCTGCATTTACATCAGAGTTAACTTATTAAGATTTCAATGTATACTTTAGTTGGCTCTTTTTTTAAAAATTTGGACAAATGCTGGCAATCTGTTTTCCTCCAGTGTTTACAACAAGCTAAGCTAACTGCCTGCTAGAGCCAAAGCCTTATATTTAAGCTGTTCAGTACAAAATGATGTCTATACAATGACTCAGCAGCTTATATTTACATCAGAGTTCTCTTATAACAATTTTATTTGTCTCTAGTTGGCTCTTTTATAACTTTGGACTAATGGTGGCTAGCTGTTTTCCTCCAGCCTAAGCTAAGCTAACTGGCTGCTAAAGCCAAAGCCTAATCACACTCATGTACAGTAGGTGGCGGTATGCAGCTTTAAAGTTATTTGCAATCCGCCAAAAACCGAGAGAAGAAGAAGAAGAAGAAGAAGAAGAAGAAGAAGAAGAAGAAGAAGGAGGAGGAGGAGAAGGAGAAGGAGAAGGAGACAATAGTATGCAGCTGCAGCGTCGGAGGCTGCACTCTCAGGACCGCACTCCAACGACCCTAGTTGTTTTGCGTATTGTGTACTTACCATAGACTGTATATATAAAGTAACATATTATATCTTATATTATTAATATATATAAATAATTCTGATAAAATGTTATTCCAGCGTCAATAAATGAGTGTTAATCCCAGTGTGTTTAGTGTACAACATCACATGTCATTTCACCTTCAATTCACGGTTTTCAAAACGTTAGCCACATGCTAATGCTAACCGGAAATGAAGAATCTTCAGAATACAAGTGTTAAGTTAATAGTTAGTGTGAACTTCCGGGTTTTTCAGAATTAAACTGCTTTAAATTAAAACCCTGTATTTAATTTAAATTACGTCATATCAACATTGAAACATTGAGGTTTGGGAGGGAGGAAGGAAGATTAGGTAAAAAGGTAGGGAGTGGTTAGGGTTAGGATGGGGGGAAGGGCAGGGTTAGATTGTGCACTGCATTGAGGGGCTTCAGGCGTTCATGTGAACGTGCTCCGTCACGTGCTGCCGTGACGTGCTCCGTCGGACCTGTGTGTGCGGTTCTACAAGTGCAGTCTCCAACCGTCTCCGACGCTGCAGCTTCATGCTACTCGAAGGAGAAGAGGTGAGTGGATTAAACACCTGCAGAGGTTTCATTAAGTGGATTTACACCTGTTAGCTTAGTTTACAGTTAATCACGAATCAGAAGTCATCTTCTTTAACACAACAGCTGTAATCTTGGATGAAAGAAACTCACACAAAAAATTAAAATGTGCGCCAAAAATAGTCTCAAATTATCTTTAAATAAAGGCTAAAAGCTATCGTCTAAAAGCTATCGGCTAAAAGCTAAAGTCTAACAGCTATCGGCTAACAGCTACAGTTATTATTCCAGTTCGGCTCTCGGTGAGTAACAGTTGATTTGTAATGCTCAGCTGACTTTATGTTAGTTATTTATTACACCAGTTGTCTTTAAGACAGTTTGAGTTGTTGTGTTGGTGTTTACCATAGATATGGTTTTAAATATATGCTAACTAGCTTATTAGCATCACCATTCACCGTGACGTAGAATTTTTCCCATTGAAATTAATGGGGTTCTTCAGTTAGCAGCTAACGCTAAGCTAAGCGACGGTTTAGCTCATTAGATAAATAGATATACTTTATTTAAATAATGATTTATCTTAAACTGAGAAATGATTGTGTCACAGCAAAAGTGTTTTCAGGCATTACACGAGTTAAACATATTTAAAAGATGCAATAAGATATACAAATGAAGCATTAGCAGCAAGTTTACACACAGGACACATATCACTAGAGCAGTGGTTCTCTAATGCGGCTTTCACACCAGCGCTTTTCTCTTTCTAGCTCCGAGCGGGAGCTTTTCTGGTTCAGCTCCGGTTTCCCTTTTCTGCTCCCGCTCTGTTCACACCGCCCAGAGCTGCCGCTGCTGCGTCATGGTGTCACCGTTTACATGCCTGCTTCATAAAATCCAAACCTCGCGGAAATCCCTCACATCGACAACAACAACAATGGCCGATTATATTGAAGCGCTGTTCGCTTTGGTTATCCTCTTACGAAACGAAATGGAAGACATCGGACGACTTTACTTGGAACTTTACAAACATCACATGCGAAATGCAAGACTTCTTTGTGGTCTTCAGCATCTACTTCAACGACGAATCTGCCCCCGCCTCGACGTAAGAGAGACGTAAGCGACGCCGCCTCTTAGCTCCGAAGCTCTTGCCTCTAGACCGACAATTTTGTGGAGCTGGAAGTGAACCGGATTCCGGAGCTAAGAGGCGGCGCCTCTGCGGCGTGAACAGGAAAACCCGGTACTTTTCAGATTTAATTCTGTGTGGACAGAGTTATATGCTTTCACAGCAAACGATGCTGGTTTACCGGTATGTCTGATATGTAGAGAGAAGTTGTCAACGGTGGTGCAGCCTTTACAAATACTTTTATTTTATTTCCTTCTTATTTTTGTCTAAGCTCAAGGGAGCCAGAGCAGAGGGCTTAAAGGGTCGCCCGTGGGCCGCGGGTTGCCGACCCCTGGTCTAGAGCAGTGCTTCTCAAAGTGTGGTCCGCGGACCACTGGTGGTCCGTGAGCGCCCCCTAGTGGTCCGTGAGTATATTGCAGTGTGCGAAAAAGCACACGTCCCACCGTCCGGGACGTGTTATTTACGATATCGGACAAGTAGATCTTTCAATTGACTTGTCCGGCGGACAAGTGATGTTTTTCGCCCTCATTTATTGACAAATTATTGATAAATTCAGTTTACAAAAGGCAGAAGTCATTCGCAAATTGTCCGTGTCCGCCATTGTTCGTTTAGAAATGTTAGTTTCGGTTCTGCTTGTCGATTCCTAAGGAAATGCATCTCGCCGCTTTCTGTACTGTTAGATAGCCGTAGCCGTAACAGCCCGTCTACACTACAGGCATCAAAAAATCTTGAAGCTGGGCGTGTCTGAGGCTTGGCGATTTCTCGCGCCCAAGGCGACCAACAACCAATCAGGAATCTCCCGCCCGCCCCCGGCATACAAAGCAATAGCAATGTTAAAACGAGGTAAACTGGATATAAAATCCCCAAACAGGCGAAAACCTACCAGTTTCATCCACTGTCTCTGCCACCTCCCTCCATGCCTCGCTCCTCCGGTTTGTATCCCGGTAGATGAACAGAGACTGATCATACAGCACTGGGTGATTCACTACCGCTATAATGAATTTTCCCTCAATTTTTTTGAATATGAGGAAATGACCTGCGTAGTCTCTCCCAGCATACACGCGGTTTGATTGGCTAGCACTTGTACTGACAGATTTGCATACGCGGGATTTGATTGGCTGATGCCAAGCATCGAGCCTCAAAAGTTGAACATTGTTCAACTTTTGATGCTCGCGATGCTTGCAAAGCCACGCTCCGCTCCCCACAATGCAGTTCGGCGAAGATTCAAAATCAACTACGTCACCCCATTCAAGTGAATGGGCGAAGCGTTGAAAGCATTTTTCGATGCCTGTAGTGGCGGGGCGGGGGCGGGGCCATGGATGTATAATAAGAACGACGTGTAGCACAGTGGCAGGGTTGGGAAGCAAAACTCGGTTCCGAGTAAGAACAAATGACAATTGTCCAGTACCGGGATTAATAAGAGTTGTGAGGACAGGAGGCGAGGCCGAGCCCCGCGGATTGCACACTTTCTACACACAGCAGATCCGCTGCCCGTTTAACAGCCTCATCTTTGTCAAACTTTCTTATGTTCTTTCTCTAACACGTAATGAAGGTTATTAATCGTTTTAGCTCCTGTGTTGTTAATATTGACCGCCATTTCCTTTATGAAGTAAAG